GATCCGAAGGGTCCTTCAGGATCTGTGATCCACTATGCGCATTCAGCGCCTTCTTGGTATCCTCAAGAACTGCTTTATCCAAAAGCGATGAGGAGTTTAACTCCTCCTCAGGTCGTATAACGATCACTTCGGCGATGTCGCCTGCCTGTAAGGCAATGCCAAACTCGGCAGAGGACAACTCGTCCAGTTCTAACAGAGCACTTCCTGCGGGTATTGCTGAAACAGCCATCGGCTCTTCAACATCCCCACTCCACCATTGACGATTGTATATAGCTGTTCGCTATCACCGTCACTCACGGTATTATCATCGCTACTCATGATTCTCTCAGCATCCGACGCTTCGGAATCCACAGGTGTACACACCTCAAGGTCAAAGACCACTTTTTTACTGACTGCACCCCACCCTCTTGGGTCAATGCCTCGTTATGAGGTGCTCGCACCACGTTGTCCTCAAAGACAAATGTAATTTTTGACTCCACCCGACCCTCTTGGGCTCATACTTCGTCACTAGGTGCTTGCACCTCGTTATCCTCAAAGACAACATCCATTTGTGACTTCACCCGGCCCCAGGGTCAATCCTCGTCACTCATGTCACTTGGACTCGTGTCCTGACATCTTGGCTTGCAGCCATCAACACCACTCACGGTGTTTAATGATGTAACATCATTCTCATGACACCTGTAATATGTGTCATCTAGTGGGTTCTCAGCCACACTATCGACAGTACTTGGGCCTCGCCCCAGGACCATTTTCCTCGATACTTACAGTGTCTACAAAGTCGGATTTCCCGACATCCAACATATTGACCGACTCGGTCCAATATCCGCGCCAAAAGCGCTTTTGCTTCCTAGCAGAGGTGGGTTTATGACTCTCCAGAGCCCCACCAGGAGCATTGCGCATTGCGCCTAAGGTCTTCGACCTCCACTAAATCCATGGCTCATGACGTTCTAGCCATGTCATGCCTAAGATGAGGTCATACCTCACATCCAGGGCTAAGACCAAACAGCGTCCCATGCTGTTAAAGTCCAAGAACTTTACAGTTAAGTCCATTGGGACTTCGAGTACCGTAACACGCGTACCCGTCGCTAAGCAAACTGTGACTGTGTCACTCTCACGCGCTACAAGCACTTCAGCATACTGCTGACTACCTCCCACGGTGGCACGGCGGGCATAATTTCCCGATGCCCCAAATCGATCAAAATGATCCATGGCTTATCATAGCCCTTAATCGTTCCTTCGACGACTAGCAAGCCTGGCTTGCATTCTCGTTCCGTTTTTGATAGTTCAGATCTTTTTGAGGCTGGGCCCTGTTTACTTCTACCTCCCGGAGGCTCAACAGAACTCAGTTCTTCCCCAGCAGGGCGCCCTGCACCTACTGGGTTCCGCCGTTTCCCCGAGGCAAACCAGAGGGTTTACCCATGGGGCGCCGGCCCTTTGAAGCCAAATATACCTTTCTTGCGGGGCATTTTGCCGTCACATGGTCTGTTCTCTTGCAGATATAACATCTGCGCACAATTTGCTGCTCCGCAGATTGAAGCTCAGCTTCTTCATTCTCTGCTTGACTACAGTCCATGGGTACAGACCCATCATACGAGTAGTTAAAAGTGGCAGGCCTAGCCGCATAAAGTTGGTCTCGGCATTCCATGCCACTTCAACATCTTTCTCTAATGAGGACGGGTTTTCTTGGAAGACTTCCGTTCTGGCAACGTCAACTCGGAGACACTACATAGATACCGTGACGGTCACTGTCTCAGGCAGAGGGTCTATGATCATGGCGGCAGTGAGAGTTCTCAACTCTTGCACATATGCCACAAGCTCACGCTTGCCTTGGCGACACGCTAAAACTCGCGACCGGTAACGGTGTTCTTGGTTTGGAGGTGCATACTTCCGGGTCATCTGAACTTTCAGATCGGCCCATGTGGGAAAAGCATCTTGCAATGATGCACCACATGTGAATACCCACTGTTTGGCTGAGCCACCTAACTTGCCCGTGGAAAATCCCACACGGTACGGTTCATAGTTGATGTCGGCTATAAACATAGCCGACTCAACCTGTCGGAACCAAAGCATAAAGTTATCACCTTTGTAGTGGAGTGGGTTCTCAAATTTGCGTAATGAGACCCCAAGCCACTCACTGTGCCGGACTGCCGACTGTCGGAGGGGTACCTTGATACCGCGTATAGAACTGCTCTCACCTTGTGTACCCGTCGGCTGGCGGGTTGCACGCTTCGGAGGACTTGGTTGGGATATGATGTCGGCCTTGAGAGAGGTCGGCCTTGAGAGAGGTCGGCCTCGGGGTACCTTGAGTGGATATACTTTACCCGGTAGGCGGGTAGGTGGCCACTCGGTCGACTAGGTCGAGGGTGGACTTATAACCAAATTCTTCAGGGTAGGTTCTCAACCCTGGCCTTTTTCTTCCTTTTCCTTGATATCTCAGGGGTGTTAACCGCCTGGCCTTTACTTGCTCCCGGGGACCACTAGGGTAGGAAGACCGCTTCCGATAGCGGGTTGAGTTGGGGGTGCTACTAGGACGAACCCACAGTCCAAATGTATCCTGGGGCTCTATTCGCACTTGGGTCTTACCACACAACTGTCTTCGACGGGGGGCCAAAATATATCCCTTCCCGGAACAGGTGGGTAGACTTAGTAAGTTCCTTGAGAGCGCGACGGAGGCGTGCTATGTAGATCGCAAATTGAGTAGTAATTAATATAATCCTATCTTTTAACTCCTTAACTCAATCTTTACCCCCGAGACCTGATTCTTGATTCTGCTTGGCTAGGGTTTATCGACCGAAGAGCCGAGCGTCCATCGACCCAAGGGCCAAGGTCTATCGCCTAACGACCGAGGTCCATTGATGAAGGACCAAGTCGACCTTCAGGGATCAAAGGGCCGAGTGTCCATCGACCGAAGGACCGAGGGGCCGAGAGTCCATCGACAGAAGGGCCAAGGTCTATCGCCTAAGGACCAAGGTCTATCGCCTAGACCAAGGTCTATCGCCTAAGGACCAAGGTCGACCTTCAGGGACCGAAGGGCCGAGGGACCGAGAGTTCATCGACCGAAGGGCCAAGGTCTATCTTTATGAAAGAACGAGGTTTACCAATGATAGAAAAAGGTCGGCCTTGAAGGACCGGGATCCACCTCGAGGAATCGCGGTCCATCGGGCTAACCGCGGTTAACTCCTTTGAATGGCGGCTAACTAGCACGCTTTGATCGTGAATTCCTCATATCCTTTAGCACGCCGTTTCTCTGTCCCTTATCCAACGGTCGCTCCTCCTTGTCAAGTCCCTTTCTCTTTGACCAACTGGTCCCCTGACCTCCCAGTTCTTGAAACGCTTCACCACACCTTTTTTGCCGTCGAGCTTATCTACTATCATATGTATGGGCTTTGGTCTGTGGACCACTTCTTGCGCCCATGGGCGAAGGCGCAGAAGAAGGCATTTGTGCCTTTACATGCTCGACTAGAGCTTTATTATATTCATCAAGCATATTAATACGCTTGTTAACCTCTTCTTCGCCCTGGGTGATGAGGTACTCTTGCCCTTAGGACCAAGGATAAGGAGCAGTTTCTGCAACCCTTCCTGTTGGTTTTGTGACAGGCCAACCGCTGACATCTCACCGATGTCCATCCTCACACAGAGAAGTAGTCACAAACACAGGTGCAAGATTGACTACAAGTGCTAACAGGTGTTGCCGAGCTACTGTAGCTACGCTACTTATGCACTATGTGCAGATGCACTATGTGCAGAAGAAGTAATCAGACTACTGTAGCAAAGCTACGTATGCACTATGTGCAGAGGAAGACAAGCTCCAAGAGCTTATACGTCTTAGGTTTCTTAGCCGTCCCAAGGCTAGTAAAGAAGCTTATGTCTTTTGGTATTAATAACCAAGTCTTCAAGAGACTAGTATCAAAGATACTGATTCCTTCTAAGGAATCAAACGCTCTAGCAACTAGTGCTGCTATACAGAGCAGGTTTGAGAATGATTTATATTTATGTTTATCTTCTAGCACTAAATATAGAAGCACCTACTCTCTACTTAGTGCTAGTCACTATTTACTGGCTCTATAGCCGATTATTATTATGCAAACATGCGTAGTCACTATACTTTAAATAAGTGTAGTGACCACGTGGCTTTCTGCCACGATGCGACCCTTCATACTTCAGGTACGGTCACATCATCTACTTTTGTACCCAAGGTGCAGCCATACCACATTGGTGTGGCAGGTGTGTACGTACAATACACAAGCCCCGTTACAGACGGTAGAAAATATTTTTTGGACATGTCCACGTGCGCAGGCACGCTGGCAAAAGCTCATCTGCCACTGGACTAGACAACGATGGAAGCTGGGACGTCTTCAGGGCTTTCTAGTGATAGCGAAAGTCGACGAGCACTAGAACTATCCTATGTTTAATAGAATTGTCTGCCTCTTTCTTGTATAACCTCGCCGCAATCACACAACACCCCTACCTCCACGTACAAATCCTTTGGAGGTTCTATACCGGTACGATCAGCTCGCACAAGCAGACTTCGCCTCATCAAGGACTTAGTTCATCGATGTCTTTACATCTTTGTATTCACTAATTCCTTAACAAATACAAAAAATGTAGAAGTGTGTTTTATGATACCATCACACATCGCGAGCTTTTCCTGCTCTATGCGTCAGCCATAACTATTTTTAAACAGCATCGCCACGTTTCTTCTTCAATTTCTGTTTCGCTAATCCCACGAAAATCTGTAGCGATCCCAACCTTGGTGCCTGCAACATACTTTTGTCATGACACCAGTTGGCATGCTATCCTTTTTTCAAGTATCTAGGTGCAAACTTTAGAACGCAATGAAGAGGTTATTCAAAAACCAGTCACAAACTTTATTTCCGCCTATGATGATCCAGAGGGTTATAAAACCATTAAAACTCATACCGCCATAGGACAAACGGTATTTATCGATTGTGAAACAACATCACGCCTTACGTGGCTCACACCATCTTCTAACGGCCGAGATGCTCAAGAAGAAGGAGAAGCTAGAGCAAATGCGTGAACTTGGACGTGGTGGTTTATCCAAGGGACTACATTTCCTTCGTTCAGCTGCTATTAATTCATCACTAGAGAATAATGACGCTTCAGCATCCAATGGGGAATCGGAAGGAGGTGGGAAGGAGACACAGACGACAACAACAACAACTCGTATGACGTATGAGGAGTTACTAGCACTTAGTATGAAACTTACACGGCAGAATAAACTAATGAAAGTCCAGTATCAGAAGAATCAGAACAAACTCGTAGCTGCTGAGACAAGTGATGTTGATATACAGACACTACGTGGATTTTTAGAGCATGAGGTGGGATTAGATGTAAATGCTTGTGTCAAGAAGACAAGTACTGGATCTGGTGGTTCAATTGATATTGAAGTGTTGAAAGAAAAGTACCATAACTTATTGAAATTGCAACAACAAGAACAATACGAGACGAAACCACCTGTGGCCGTCGAGAGCGTAAATTTATTGGAGTTATCACCTGTTCGGACAACGGCGACAAAGAAAAAATATGAGGAGATTGATCTATTAGGAGATACAGTACATTACAATTTACAGACGAAAGAGCTGGACGAAGTGATGAAACAGGTTGAGAGAATGAGTGAACAGATGAGACAAGGAGCTGAATACACGAAGGAACTTGAGAGGAAGTTGGTAGAAAGCGACGAGCAACAAGACGAACTTGTGAGGAAAGTGTTGGAAGAAGAAAAGATAAAGTGGGAGCAACAGGAACAGGTATGGCGAGAAAAATGGGAGGAGCAGACGAAACTTGTAGATGAGTTGCAGGGAAAACAAAATCAAGAGAAGGAAGTGAAACGTAATGACGAGCTGGAGGGAGAAATGGCGCGACTTGTAGAGGTAAAGCGAGAGCTGGAGATGACGGTTACAGAAATGTCAGAGCAGTTGCACGCAGGAGTGAAGCAAAAAGAGGTAGAGGAGAAAAAAACAGCTGACTTACTAGCCAAATTTGAGCAGGACAAGGCCGACTTAGTCAAGCAACTTGAACAAGCTGAAGCTGCTGTTTCCGCTACATCGAAGATAGCTACAGAAGTGGAGAATGGAGTAATGGAGAAGATGCAAGCAGTATTAGAGACCCAACGAGCTGACTTGGAAGCAGCAAAAGCAGAGAATGAAAGCCTGCGGGAGCAAATTCAAACGCTGCAAGAAGTTTCTCCAACTATTGCCATCTCGGAAGATGAAGTGAAGGAGAAGGTGGCGACGGCGTTATTAGCGCAGCAATCAGAGCTAGAAGCGACAAAGGCCAAGAACGCGACATTGCAGGAACGAGTTCAAGCATTGGAGGAAGCTTCTTCTTCTGCTAGCGTTTTGGCGGATGAAGTGGCGGAGAAGGTGGCGATGGCGTTAGAAGCACAACAATGTGAATTAGAGATGGTGAAGAACGAAAACTCATGTCTTCGGGATGAAATTGAAACATTGCATCAGACAACGTCGATTTTGACTTCTGAGACAAAGGATGAGGATGCTAACGGCATTATCGACTCCCTGCGTGCCGAAGTTAACCGCTTACAAGGCATGCTAGAGGTGAAAGAAAGCAATAGGATTGATTTGCAGCAAGAACTTGCGGTGTTGAAGGAGCAAACTCAAAAGTTACAAAGAGAGTTGTGTCAAAAAGACTCGAGCAATATGGCTGAAGCCGCCTTAATGGAGAAGTTGGAACAAGTAAAGTTAGAATCGGCAGAGCGTGCTCACGAGATACATTCATTGCAGGAAAAGCTTGACGCTACGAAAGAACACTTGGCTAAGGCAAACAGCGAGGGTGAAGCCACTCAGTCACTTGTGGAGGCTCTCAAGAATGACACGAGTCGTTTGGCTGACGAGGTAGCCCAGTTTGAACAAAAGCAGATGGCTTCGGAAAGGGAAATTTTCGTGCTGACTAAAGTAAAACGTGAGCTTGAGGAGCAGCAGGAACATGCACGCGACGCTAAATTGACGATGGAGAAACAGTTGGAGGAGGAGCGCGCTTACTGGGCATCTAAGCTTGAAAATCTGATTCGTGACACTGACACGGCAAAAAGACAGACTGAAAAGCTCGAGGCTGAGCTGCGTGAAAAAGAGAAGCAAGTTACAAAGATGGCGGCTTCTCAGGCATCCATGACATCAGAGCTGCTGGAGTTGCAGAAGCAGGCAACTAGTATGCGCGAAGATTTGTCGATGGCTGCAGAGAGCCTCGAGGCGCACGCTAGAAAAGCCGAGAGCAACGAGCGAAGATATATCCAGAGTGAAAAGGAGGCGACGGAATTGAAGAAGCAGCTTGATAAAACACGCAAAGAGCATTATGCAAACTTTGAAATGTTGCGCCAAGAAAAGAAAGCTGAGTTGGAGCGTGTTCATTCTGAGCGCCGTGCAGTGATTAACGAGAAGAAAGAATTGTCACGAGAAAGAGACGAGCTTCAGACTTGGTGCAAGGAGCTCAAACGCGATTTGAAGTTGGCGCGCAAGCATGAAGAGGAGCTAGAAGCATCTTTGAGTGACAACACGTCCCAAGTGGGCAACCTGAGTGCAGATTTAGCTGATACGAAGAAATCGCTGTCTGACCGCATGGCTCTTGCGACAAGATTGCAAACTGAAAACATGGACATGGCCGGCAAACTGGCAGAGCAAGTGGCTCTTATTGAAGGCGCGCTACGCGATGCAGCAAATAGCAAGACCGCACAATCTGAAATGGAGAATCAGTTGCAAGTCGCCAAGGCAGATGTACGGCGCATGAAACAAAGCGAGGCCAAGGCTAAACATGATCTAGAAAACGTACAGCACGAGCTTGTCAAAAAAGATGAGAGCTTCCAGCTGGAGCGGGAAAAGGCTAAAGACGCATTGCAAGATGCCGTGAAAAGTGAAAAAGAGCGCTTTAAACGCGAGCTCGAGCGCGTCGAGGCCGAGAGCAAACATAAGTCGAAGTTGGCGCTGCAAGCAGTGTTACAAAAGGAAAAAGAAATTGCACGACTTAGTGCACGTCTTCATGAATTGGAGGAAGACGTTCGTTTGGGTGGTGCAGACAATCGTAAAATCCTTGAGTTTGCTCAGTTGCAAGCTAAGAGAGACGTTGAGGCAAGGGCGCAAACAGCGCAAATGCAGGCGCTGGCTGAGCAGCTGGAGGAAGCTCATCGTGAGCTGCAGGAGTTGCGTGAGAACAAGCACCGTCATGCTGAGGAGCTTACTGCAATGCTGCAAAACCAGCGGCGTGACGGTGTCAACATGGAGTACTTGAAAAACGTGGTTGTGCAGTATATGTCGTTTCCACCAGGCTCTTCACAGCAAGCGCGACTGGTGCCAGTACTCTCTACCCTGCTCCAATTCACGGCTGGTGATGTTAAGGAAATTAAACATGCAGCGCGACGTAGCAATGGCTGGGCATCGTGGGGAAGCAGTGACGCCAGTATCGACTACAAACCTATTGTCGTGGGCACTAGCCATCGTCATCCGATGGCTCCTGCATCGTCTGCCTCAGCGCAAGGGTCTCCACTTGCTCAGATGACCTCTGCATCGGCACCCCGAGAGTCTCCTCCCAAGTCGCCTCGAGCGTCTAGTTTTTTCTTGCCAAACGACGGTGACAGTGAGGCAGCAGGTCCATCTGCAGAGAGTGCTGAGTTTTAGGGCAAGCTTACCGCCTAAATTCTAGAATCATTCAGACCAAAGACAGCGTAGCTAGTTAGAGGGTGAAGAAGCGTGTGTAAATGAGTTTGTTTCGCTTCGTTAGAAAGCACCATGCATGATGTAAAAACGATATGACATTCAGGTTCACTGTTTTGCAGCAAGCGAGATCTCTAAGGATGTCCCATCATGCTCTTGCGGTTCATGATAAGCTCCGATGTCCGCCTATAAACAAGAAGTTGACAGTGTTAGCTACGCATACGAGAAAGTGAGATGACGCAAGACTGAGAAAGCCAACGTACTTTCGCGCAGCATCCTGGCGTGTCATTCTACGCGTGCGCTCGCTCGAGTTGGCGGCGGCAATGGCCGCAGACAAAGGCGCAGTGGCAAGAAAACTTTGGTGCCGAGAAAGCGATGCGATGCGATTCACACTGCCCCAGTAACCCGTGGCAGCATTCTTCTTGAGCTCAAGCTTGCCATTGCTGCTGCATAACAAGCGCATCCACTCCAAACAATGATCTGGCTCAGACACACGCAATAAGGTGAATACGACCTCCATTAAAACTTTACTGTCGCGACAGAGCTTACCGATAGAATCACATTTAACGATCATACGATCAGAAACGGTTTGTATCACGTCTTTTGTCGCGTTGAGTTGTGGCCGCAACGTTATAACACAAGCGGACTTGCAATTACCAGTCTCCGCTTCTTCCTTTTCGTTACACGCACGAACCTCCACAATATCCTTTATGGCGAACGAGCCGAGAATGTCGGGCTCCTCATCGTACAAATGTAGCGCTAGAGACATCATGAGTACACGCGAGCTCGTTAATACAAAATACTTTGGAATCCACTTCCGGCCGTCCCAATCTTGAAGATTCGATGAGTACATAACGGCACATTCAATCTGCAGACGCAGCAGCTCTTCGTTATCCTTGTTCGTCGAGAATGTGATACCACGGCTGATGAATACGCCTGTGCCAAACGTGTCCTCCTTATTTTTACCAGATTCAAGCTGACCATAGGCACGTTTTATACCAAGCAACGAGTTGCGCCACATGACGGCTTCTTGGTCCGTGCGAGGGATGATAATCACACTGGTCTCCGATCCAAGAATGAGCTCGACAGCATTTTCAGGCGAGTTGATATATGCAAAGCGCACATCCACAAGCGCGCGACAATCGATAACACCGTAACGAATGGCGGTTGCTTCATCTGCAAGCACCTCGTGCTTGTAAATTGATAGCTCGTAGCCCCATTGCATAAAATAACGCAGACGAATGCGCTCTTCTTTGGAGGTGCGATAATAGAGCCATCCACTAGCACTGAACACACTTGCAGCTACAACCGTATCAGGAACGGACCTTCTCGAGGACACTATGGGGCCAATCGGTAGTCCAGCAGTTGCAAAAAATCGTCATCACTGTGGTCGAATGTTGAGGTCTTGAGCAGTTCCTTTGGAAGCACCTGGATCTCACCAAGTGGCGACAATGTTGCATTGCCCTTCAATGACATCGAGTTAGTGCAGCAGTCGTAAATTGCGTTAGCCCATTCTTTAAGCTGCTCCTCAGTGTCAAAAGCCAACAAGAACGCGTAAAAGTCACCAATTTGGTCCGTCCGTGAGCTCTCTTCAGCAGCCGTGGGAACCGCAAAACTCACTTCCAGCTGATAAAAATCGGCTTCATCTTTGCTACGCGTCCACACCTTCGACATTTGAAGGTGGAAGATACAAGGCAGCGAAATCATGCCAAGCATACGGCCACCTTCTTCTGTATAAAAGATGAGCTGATGATTGCGTAGAGAAAAGTAACGACGACGGAACACCTGGTAGAGCCGATCCAGCTTCCATATCCATGCCTCTTTAGGCCGCGCACTTACCCAGTAATTAGCATGTGGTGCCTTCTTCAGGACTAGATCGCCACAGCAGCACATTACCAGCATCCAACGCTTTGCAAGCTTTGCGCTTTCTGCAACCAATTGCACCTCCTTTTCTCCTTTCACCTTCATCACAAAGCTACCCATATCCAACCCATCTGAATGCACCTCCTCAATATCTTTTAGCGATATCGCATCAATAGCATCACCCCATTCACTAGCGTAATCACTTTGAGAAGCGTAATAACGGAAAACGCCGCTAGAGATCGCTGCAAACACTTTCTTACCCGTTATCATGATTTCACCACCAATTCCCGTGAAATCATCGGTCAGCAAAGCACCAACGCCTGTATGGGTTGACGATAGCTGCTCCTTTACAATGCCCGCTGCGGCAAGACGATCCGCATCCTTCGCATCCATGTCCTGGCTTCCAATGCCATTCGGCCCTTCGGACTCGGTAATAGACATCATTAATCCTGCACTGTTCAGCACAATTCGTTTCGCACCATTTATCGCAGATGTAATAGCGGTGTCACCGTCACTATCAACCGGGCGATAGTAGTAGTCTGACAGCCAGATTAATGCCGACAACCACGCTTCTTTCTGCGCATAGCTTTCTGCAACCACCTGTAGTACAGTAAGCAGACACAAAGTTTTCAGCATCCACGAGCCACAGCCAAAATGCAAAAACAGTTGTTACCATCCAGACAATATCGTCAGCAGTGGTAAGCTGAATCGTGAAGTCAAGGTTGTCCTGGAAACCCGACTCAGCTTCCCTTACATCCTTAATATTACGAAGATCGAGCGTGCTGGCATACGAATGCAAGCTTTCTTCCTCAAGCACCTCGTACTTAAACAGCATCAGTTCGTTATCAATAAGAACGAGAAAGCGAGGATGGTATGCACTCATACCCACACTTCGCGGTTCTTTCACAAAAAACCATCCACGCGTGGGTGCCTTTAGTGTCACATCCTTTAGACTACGATACAAGCGTGATGATTCTTTTACACTTGGATCAATGTACTTGGATGGGTTAGATATCAGTCGTGATATTGTTGGCCGCGTCATAGGCGTTTCGGAATGACGTGGCACGTACGTTTGGCTGTCACTGCGCGAAGCGCGTCGACTAATGGATGATAGGTCGTATTCTTGTCCTGTGAGGCGTTTGGCCTCCTTGCTGACAGCAATTCCCCACTTCATCATTTTTTCTTGTGTAGCAAAGCACATGACAAATGGACGGCGATACTTCTGCGCTGCGCCCTGAGCCAAAATTCCTAGCTCTAGTCGCCACGGCATCTTTTCTTCACTGACTTCAGCAATGGACAAAACGTCGTAGCTAGAATCATTATTCGCTGCCGTATCATCAGCGATCTGACTAGGCACAATGCTGATAATATTGTCGCAGCGCAAAACGCCGATCGGACGCGTGCGAGTTGCAGCTGAGCCGGCGTTTGCGTAGTACATCATCTTGCCATCCTCAAGCAGAAGGAAGTAGTGACAAGAGAACGTTGGCAGCAAGTCGCCTAACTTTCCGACATCATCCTGTAGCACTATCTTGGGCTCAAGAGCGGGATCAAACTCTACAACTGCGACGGGATGGACTGGAATGGATAGCCTCGCCGCCTTGGGAGAAAAAAGCGGCGAATTCTTCAGTAAATCGACCCACTGCACCATATCCTCCCGGCTCTTCGTGTAAAACGTGAAAATGCTGTGCGATCCCTCAAGCGTGACACCCCATTGCTTAGGATGGCATTGAGTAAACGCTGTTACGACTTCACGTGTATCATTGGTGGGTCGGACATCCGTCACTTGATCCATCCGGATAACCAAGCATGGGTCGTCAACTCTTCCACCCTGCATGCTGGGCCTGTACAGCTTCAATTTGTCACCCTGTAGCTGCAGCATACGAACGCGGTACCGATGCGCTGACGGCTCCTTCGAAAGCACCCAACCCTCAGCAACACGAGTAGCATCCACAGGTGGTGCCGTATTGAAGTCGGTTCGAGAAAACCGTAACGTCAATGGTCGTCCGGCAGCGCGAATCAAATCAACAGCTTGCTGAAACTCAATGTTTGTGAAGTAGTGATTATTGATGGAAATGAGCAAATCGCCCACCCGAATCACGCCAGACGCTTCTGCGGGTCCCAGGTCCCCACCAGGTCCTGTACTTTCCAAGAACCCGCATACCATCACTTCATCGTCCACAGTCCCTCGTAAAATCAAGTTCAATGGACCTGGTTGGTCAAACGTGACTGTGATAATTTTCTCCTTTGTGTCATCATCACCTTGACTTTTTGAGTCACTTGTATCCCCCATACCACCAGTAAGTGTTCCTGTCATTCGCATTCCATTCGCATCCGTAAATCTCGATCCCTGTGTCAACGCCGTTTTTCTTGCTACTGCACTTGGCCTTGGAATGACGGAACTGCCTCGAATAATTGATGACTCTGGTCGTGGCATTAACTTGGGTTTATACTCTCCACGCAACTAGGAAACAAAATATTATAAGAAAATAGAATTTATCAATATATATTAATGCATCAAAACTTGCCGCCATGATAAAAAAATCATATTTTCTTACCACTAATGTCAATACCGTCGCCCATCGCACCATATCTTCTCGATCATTTCCTGCTACTGTATAAATTCGATCTGCACAGACCTATATATATAATATATAAAAAACCATCATAAAACATACAACATACGAAATAAAAAACCAGTCAGCCCTACCCAATTTTTCATAAATGACATTCAGATTATATATTTCATCGTGTTCTTACCAAATCAAGTGCATGTTCCGGTGCATCAGCAACACTTGATGGTAAAACAGCATTAACTGATGTTAAATGAATGGCTCCTAATTCTTGTTCCTCTGTACTTGTTTTAAAATACCGTAATATCATTCCATCAAGCACAAACCACCTAACCCGATAGGTATTACCAGGTAAATGAAGTCGTAATAATCGAGAACTATTTAATTTCTTTCCCCCAGCCCCAACATGTTGGGCTTTTCGTTTAAAATCTGGTTTTAGTAAAAAACCCTTGGGATTTTCAAGCCAATCGGTATGAATAGCACCGGTTATTTGCATTTGATGAACTTCTCGTGATAATTTCTCATAGGCATTTTCAGGACCACCAGATGCACCAACAGCTGAATCACCTACACTTGCTCCAACTCCACCAATGGCACTTGCACTCAAGTCTGTTGTTGTCATGAGACGTTATTTATCAAGCCGATGTAAAATAGAAACTATGTAACCCAAGGGGTACAGTAAGATATTAGAGGTTACCGAAAAGAAAAATACGATTGGGTCCTGAAATGATAAAGTTTCAGACGCAACTATATATTTTTACTTTTTTTGTGACTTGTTTTCACATTTTTAATGTTTTATAAAAGGCTTGGAGCACTCCGGACATCAACTTTACAAAGTCGGACACAACCTAGAATCTGTTCCGGTAATTCATCATCTTCTTGTCCTTCCAGCACAAAACCAAAATCTAACACCATATTGCAAGCATGCGTTGAGACACCGACAAGTCCTTTGCGCGCAATATAATTGAAATCATGGGCATTCACATCAATCTCAAAATAACCGTCTCCATGGTAAAATTGATGCTGTGGTCGTGTCAGAATTGGTTGACCGTTGTAAGTTTCAAGTAAACGGCGTTCAGCTCGTCCTAATTGTTGATCCTGAGGGTTCACAACAATCCCAATGGCCTTGAATCGCTCGCTCTGGACAATGGAAATCGATTCAATAAGTACACATTACACCCGAACACAAGCAAATGCTCAACGAACTTACGACCCAGCTCTGAGGCTGCATAAAGTTTTTTAGTAGCTAAACACACATCCACCAACACCCGGATCAACATACCATCAATATAAGCTACCAAATATCGAGAAGAATTCAAATACGTACGCGAACAGCTTGGAGAGGTGGTTCGTCAGGTCCGTCGAGCATCTTGCGGATAGCTGGAGGAATAGCAAAGTACGTTACAAAATTAAAACCCACTCCGTCACCTTGGTGATCTCCCCACAGTGGATTTGAAGGCTGGTAGGAAGGGACTTGACAATTCACGATGAATAAATCCAAGTCTCCACTATATCACGCAACACAACATTGGTCACACATTAGCTCAAGTACAGCTAAAGTCAAGTGTGTTACTTACGTCGGAGGTTTCAAAACGCTCAGATTGACGATGCTGCCTACGTTGTCTGCTTTAACATCGGACTAAACGAGCAGAGACAAGTTCTCAGTCAAACCCATACACAGCGGGGCGACATCGGAGACTTGCTACCTGGTAGACATCAACAGCGACGAGTTCCAACAAGGCAGACGCCGAAGCCGCCTTGAGTTTCGTCTTGCGATAATTAGGACCTGGAGAAGAATAGCAGTATCGACATTAGTTTCACCCAACAAACGTGTTCTTCGTAAATTATACCAGACCTTGGCGGACTTTGAACCGAGTTGCGTCGATATGCATCCAGCAGCCAGTTACAATTTCAGTTGCACACATTTTTAACGAGGCCCCAGCCAATGTTTTCACGCCATTCATTTTACCCAAGAACGAGGCGCGTTTGGGCACTTGGTCATCAACATCGGTAGTGGATGCTTGCGGCGTCAACAATCTAGATCCCGATTTCAAACTTGATGTCTCTTTCATAACTTCAGAACCACCCGCAAAGCCGGCTAATGATGCGGATAATGCGTTTCCATCTGCCACAGTACCTGGCAGACGTGATTCTGTTCGTGACGACACGTAGTTGATACGAGGCAACTCGGCTTTTCGAAACCATAATAGCCATGCACACGTCAGGTTGACCAGTAGAACGACAAAGCAACACACAAACACGTTGCCAAATCGCACGAGTACTGTAATGTAGCAAGAGTATCCAATGTCAGCTGAAAGTCATAACTGCTACCAACAAATAGAGAATTTTTACCAATAACAGGATTCAGAGAAAGCAGCACTATTTTGTTATTGTTCATCCAGCTACACATCTGCATGTTTCGCGTCCACAAATCCAAAGTTAGCACAACGAAGAAAAAGTCCTCAAAACCAATCATCGCCTTGTTACCTGCTTCATCACTTGTCTTGGTTCAATCTCTATCCTCTCACTCTCCTCCATCTCTTCCATCTCGACCACTTCCTCCTTCACTGCCGGCAACTGCAACGGTAGTGACACATCACCAACTGAAGATGACGACGGTAAAAGACTTGCCGTTATCGTCGGAGCAACTTTTGTTTTTTCCATTGTCAATCCAGCCCTTGATGGACTAATAACAGCCGATATCGCCGTCGTCCATTGTCGAAACTCAGCTTTAGTGTCTGCACAAAGTCGTACTTCACGCTGTCCATTGGCCAGTACAGTAAAACAAAACGGAGTTGGAACTCCTGGTGGTAAATCACCCTGTACGACTAAAGACACGCCCGCCTGTTTCAATAATAAAACTCCATGGGCGTCTTGTCTTAATGGTACACTTTCCAATAATGAAGCATGTCGGAAATACCGTAATATACCGTTTTCTCGATCAAGTACAAACCAACGTTGATTCCACCGTTTACGCTTCCATTTCCCAGCACTTTGTTTTAATAAATAGGCAGAGATAGGTTCGATTGAATCATCAGGACGTTGCGTTTTCATCTTTAATGAAGATGAAGGTGAGTGAGTAGTTGGAAGAGAAGCGTAAAAAGGTGATGATGTCATGTTGCTTATATATATATATATGTAAGGAGGATAAAGAGGTAGAGAGAGAAAGAGAGAGTGATAGAGACTGATGGAAGAGATACGAGACGTTACGTGTTTGAGTACGGATGAATAATTATCGGACTATGTGGTATACACCAATATTATTTTTGGTATATAGCGTCTACTGTCAATTCTATTTAATTAATTGTCAATTTCGATACTCTTTACCGTTGTGATATTATCAATAAGTAGAGGTAGAGTATATATATACTCTCTATGAGTATATTATCAGGATGCGATGCCCTTTGTCCGATACAGTCTGACTATAATTAGAGCATTAGTGGCTAATATTGTATAAAAAACCTCGCAGCAAGATAAAAAAGGCAGCAATATAAATACTGTCTTTTAGTCGTTAAGTTTTCGAAAATCGATTCGATATTTCTATTACTAAGCCCCAACCCCGAGTCTATTTCTAAACCATAGAGGGTACAAATTTTGCTTCACCAATCATAATCTCTCATACAAGTACTCAACCCTAAATATCTCTTCAATCATCACTTCTTACTATTTTTAACCAATCCATACAGAGTGTACCCATCTTACAATAAAACCCGGCTTTTTTCCTCCCAATTGCCATTTTGTCTTTCATCCAATCATGCGTCTCCTACTGTCATTAGTCTTCTCTACTACTGCTTCTACTCCTGCTACTGCTGCTGATTCTACTACTACAGTCTCTTGGTGTACAGATACATCATCAAATGCTTTACTTACATACTGTGGTGATGTCTGTTCACTTGGTGATCCATGTGTACAATATCTTCCATCTTCTAGTTGTAATGAAGCTTCTAGGAATGATTGTATTCGTTACACTCCAGAATGTACTTATCAGTGTTTAGACGCATATAATACACTTGTTAAGAAGTTTACAGTCTTTATTAAAGAACCAGCATCGTCGGATGCATGGACAGGAAGTTTTAGTGGAAGTTCTACTACTACTGCTACTGCTGCTTTTCCAAGTGCTGAGATTGATACAGTGAAGCGTGTTGTATACGATGAAGCAACAAGAAATATGTACGTTATTGTATACATAAGAAAAAGGAAAAGTAGTAGGTAGTAGTCATTAGTTTGAGTTTTGATAGAGAAAGAGAGAGAGAGAGTGATGATCTACGTACGTCATGAGAATATGATGGTGTTTTTTTATGGTATTAATTGAATTCTTTGTATTTTGTAGTCAATTGACTGGATTTGATGAAACAAATGTTCAAAAAGGGTCACTCAAGTCCGTGACGTTTGATGAAAATACATTTGCAACTGCAAAAGTACTGGAACAATTGTAAATAATGAGATTTTTTCGATTCTTGATTGTTCATTTCTGCTGACACGTAATGAGGATTTATTTACATGAGTTGTATGTTTTTTATACGTGTGTATGTATGTGTGTGTGTAGAATCTTGAACAATTTAGATCTTGGAATGCTTCCCTTTGGCTTTTTACCGACTACAATCTCACTCTTGTATGTTTTGCGTTCAAAAGTGTTTTGGTCTATTTGATGGATCTGTTGACTATTCATTTGTACTGACGGTAGGTAATGGATTTTGATATGTCTTTGTTCTTTTGTGTGTGTGTCTGTATAGAACGATGGAGAATTGTAATTTGGCCAACTTCCCATCACAGTTGGGAAATCTTGCAAACAAGAATTTGGTGACGCTGTAAGAAATTGATTTGTTGGTTGGTTAGTTGACAAGTAGGATGTTTAAAAGGTTTTGTGTATTAAATCTACGGCCTTGTATGGTACAGCAACCTTAACAAGAACACTATGACCAGTGTGACGGATACGGATAGCGCGATTGCAGAAACTCTGCGAGGGCTGACCACGTTGTGCGTAAATGTTGTTGTCTTGCGCTACCACCTGTTACTGTATACTTATTGTTTTTACTGGCTTTTTTTGATCGCATGCAGGAATCTGGCAGACAACTTGATCGCCACGTTTGAAGTGGTACTTCCGTTGATCACGACATTGTATGGACTATTTTTTGTGTTAACTCTATATGCAATGTGCTAAACATTGTTTTGTGTTGCTGTTGGCTTTTTTAGAGATTTGTCCAACAACAAACTGACTGAATTTCCTTCGGCTATCTTCAACATGACCAATCTTAATATTTTGTGAGTGCCGGTACTTGACTGGGCTATTGTTTGGAATTAGTGTACTTATAGCTTGTATGTTTTGAAATATTGGAAGAAATATTGCTGGTAACAGCATTAATAGTTTAACTGTGACGTCTGCACAGTACAATTTTCTGCGAAAACTGTCCTCTGCTAGCACGCTAGCCATCACCAGCAGTGCTTGCAGTAGTAGTACCGCAACCGACGTTTTGGACTCGGTAGTTTGTGTGTCTGACGATTTTGCGTCTTTGTCGGATGAATCGAGCAGTACGTGTTTGTATGTGTATTATGCACATTGTTATTATTATTCTTTTGTTGCTAATCTTTGTTTGAATGCAGACTCTTCATCCGGCAAGAGTACACTGATCATTGTCGTCATCGTGTTAGCTGTGGCAGTTGTGCTTGGTACCGCAGGATTTTTCTTGTACCGCCACCGGATGAAAAACCGCGGTTACTACGTACCAAATACGCCAGACATGGTAGGAATAGCCACTCCTCCATCCGCGAACAATACTCCGGCTCGGAATTGGGCAGGAAGTCGTGGGCGTGCTTCATCACAACAGCGCACTCCAGCGGCTGGCGGTCGTACGCCTCGTAGTTCTATTCCGAATCTGTTGCAGCTCGCAGGCTTCTCGGATCATGGCAAGAAAATGTTCGATGCCCAACCTCGACGCAACAGCGCGCAGTCAACTCTTCCTGCTAAGATTAGTCGATCTCGTGGCTCTATCATTCATTCCAGTGTGGTCCAAATTCCGAGCGGCGAACTCAACTATACCCGTAAGCTTGCCAAGGGTGCTTTTGGTGAGGTCTGGCTAGCGTTGCATGGCACGGACTTGGTTGCTGTCAAGAAGTTGATCACAGTTGAGGGAACTAGCGTGCAGGACTTTGTTTCGGAGCTGAACCTGCTAGCATCATTGTCACATCGATGCATTCTTACACTGATTGGCGCTTGCTGGGATGATGAACTAACCGATATTCAGATTGTCATGGAGTATATGGATTCTGGAGACTTGCTGTCAGTTTTGCGCGAGAATTCGCCGTCAGTACTGACTTGGGAGAACAGCAAGGCCACATACTGCGTGCAAGTCTGCGAGGCAGTTTATTACTTGCACAGCTTGCAACCGGCACTGATTCATCGTGACATTAAGTCACGTAACATTCTGGTAGATTCCAAGAAAGGAGCTAAGTTGTCCGATTTTGGAGAGAGCCGTGAACGCACCGTGGCGCGAACCATGACGGCTGGTGTTGGCACGGCTCGCTGGGTGGCACCTGAAATTATCTTAGGCGAGGACTATAGCGAGCTTGCCGACATTTACTCGCTTGGTGTTCTACTGACGGAAATCGACACGCATCAAATTCCGTACCAGACATTGGAACTTGAAGAGTCAATGATCGTTCAACAGGTTGCTGTAGGAAAGCTGAGACCCAAGGTGTCGGACACATGCCCGGAAGTTATTCGCCGACTGACCCACGAGTGCCTTCAGTATGATCCTAGTCTGCGACCGTCGGCAGCACGCGTACTTCAAAGTCTCTTGGCTTCGCCACTGTTTCGCCACCCATCAGTTGATCTGACAGAAGAATAGGGTCAATTTGTAGCGTTTTCTGCGCTCTTTGCTAGGAACGCGAGAACGCGACGGCATGTTTGGTCCTAAATAGCCGAGCGTTCCGTCCGTACTGTATCCCGACTGCGTCAAGGTTTGATGGATAGACGTATTTTTTTTATCTTCATGATTTACCGCGTTGGGTGGTTGTCCTTTACTGGTGTGGCTGGCTTTTCGTTGCAAGCGATAATATGTCGTCTAATTAGCGTGAGCCGTACTTTTGTTTATGTTGTATTGATTCATTCACCAAAGTCTTCTCAGCAGTGTCATGTCCAGCTCCGTGTCTTCACTCCAGTGAGTGACCTGCTGAGGTTGCAATGACTGCGCCATTTGTGCCTCGTGAAGTCTTTCGTTTGGACTTCGGCTGGACTTGCCACTGACGTTAATGTGGTCGCTATGGAGCAGCGTTTTCGCGTCATATCCTGTTTTCAAGCTGATGTTGATGAGTGTTCTCTTTTCAGCGGCGCGTGTTGCAACTTTGGGCATACAAAGTATCTGAGCGATGACCCTGACATCTTGCCGCTGCGTTCTTTCGAGAAATAAGTGCATTTATTCGTTTGCCAGCCGACAGGTTTTGCTGCTATGAAAAACTGGAAACATTTGGCGACAAGAGTGTACGACGACGTGATCTGCCGTTGTCGAAGTGGCATCAATCGCCGTCATTTGACCGGCTTAAGTTGTTGTCACAGATATTGAATTATCCAGACCTGCAGCAACTGACATGCCTGATGCGACAAACGACTAGCTATTCATTATAGACTGTCAAATGCATTGCGTTTGTCAAACCCGATCGAGGAATGAAAATTTGAACAAACATTATGTGCTGTCTGGAGCTATCGTATCAAGCAACTATGCGCCTAAAGGACGCTAGCCAAACGAATGTGGGAGTCCCTATTCTTGCTTTGTTTGGAGAAGAACGTGAGGCGACGTTTGCACTGAGCATTTGTACCACAGGTGCAATACCTTAAGCTTGTTTCATTACTACGTCATGCAGGAATGAGAAGAGTTACTTGCAATGTGGCCAAGTGAGGATGCAATTGTGCCAAGGTTGTGGTGAAACTCGTCCGTCACCATGCGCTTCACCCTACATAAATGCCATAATGCATTGTAGTGCAGCAGTCAGGTACGTACAGCTGAGCCTGATGCTTTCATCTGGTGGTATAAACATCTTGACAGAGAGCATCGCGTTGGTTGTTTTCGGCTAAGCATTGTTCACCACACCGAACACATGGGCCGAGTAAATAACGTTGAATGGTTAGACGTGATGATGGTAGGAACAAGTCTTGTCAAGACGCCACTTCTCAGAGGACAGCAGTTCACGAGAAAGAAGTTGCGGCGACAGAAGAGAAGCAAGGCTTCTTGAAGTTGCATACGACTGAGCCGATCGACGACGCTAGGATCCATACTCAAAAAATTAACGCCGCGGCGTATGTGACGGAAACAGCCGCATTGGTAACAGCATTGTATCAAAGACGGCCACACAGGCACCACCCAGCGAAAATATTGCGCACTCTGCTTGATCTATCTATCTGCCTTGTATGAAGATGAAAAATGAGTGCGATGGAGGGTGGAGATCTAAGACAGTCGTTTTAAGCTATGAATACAGTTCTCCGTGGCAATCATCCACCTTCGTAAAGGACTTGAGAAAACTAACACGCTAATCCACTGTGACCGCCTTGGCTAGGTTACGCGGCACGTCCGGGTTGATGCCCTTGCGCACAGCTAGCTCATAAGCAATCAGTTGCAGAGGAATTGTCGCGAGCAACGCGGTCATGGGGCCATTCGTCGGAATCGGAATGACCTCGTCGGCAATGTTTTCGCACATCGCCGGATTGTCCGTGATAATAATGGTATGAGCACCACGAGCACGTACCGATTCAGCAGCCGTCTTCATGAAAGTGGCGTGCTCGTCATCCAATACGATTAGGATGATTGGCGTGGCTCCAAACTTACCATCGTTCTCACCCTCAATGAGCGCAAAGGGACCGTGCTTGAGTGCACCGCCAGGGTAGCCTTCAGCGTGCAAATACGTAATCTCCTTGATCTTAAGCGCACCTTCGTATGCAATTGGCTCGCCGTATCCTCTACCGAGCACAAAGAGGTGCTCAGCCGGCAACAACGTATCGGCAATCTTTGCGCATTGTTCACGCGATCGCAACGCCATGCCAATTGCAATTGGAAGACGATGCATGCTTTGGATCAGCGCAGCCATCTTAGACCGATTACCATCGTGACGGTTTTGTGCAAACCACGAGGCAATGAGTCCCATGACCGTGACTTGGGTAACAAAGGCCTTCGTACTGGCCACGGCATTCTCATGTCCAGCGTTCAAGTACACGCCGCATTTCGTTGTGCGTGCGATAAGCGACCCCACAGAGTTTACAACGGAAAACGTAGGCACCTCAAGTTGCAGCTCCTCTGCGGTTTTCAAGGCGCGGTGAACATCCTTCGTCTCGCCGGATTGAGACACGACAAGCAGGCCACCATCCTTTTTCGAAAACCGATCACTCGTGCACTCCGATGCATCCTCTGTGGCCACACTGTCAAACGCATTAAGTGATCGCATCAATTTGGCACCATACTTGCTCGCATACAGCGAGGTACCGCACGCAGCAATAAGAAGGTGTTTAATACGCAACATACGCTCCTTCTCTGCTTCTAGTCCACCAAGGTAAACATGGTCATCAGACACGCGACCACCGTAACCCAACGATGCCGCCACAGCTTTGGGTTGCTCCATGATCTCACGCAGCGTCCAGTGTGGATACGGTGCAGGTGAAAGACGCACCTTTACATCCGGTGCCACGGCTAACCTGCTAGTCGGAAATCGTTGCAAAAAGCCTTCTTCTTTGCCATAATCGTTTGGGTTTAGCTCTGCCGAGTCACTTTTAATCACCGCGACCTCACCATCCTTGAGCGAGATGAATTGCTTGGCATAGCGACTAAAAGCAGTGGTCTCGGATGCTACAAACACTTCATTCGATCCGTATCCAATACATAATGGAGATCCGTTTCGTGCAATCACAATCTTACCCGGTTCATCCCGTGCCATGACACAGAGTCCCCATGTACCTTCTAACTTTTTCAACGCAAGTCTCACTGCTGTGAGTAAATCAGCTCCTTCACCCATTAAGTGACCAATAAGTTGTGCTGCTACTTCTGTATCTGTTTGTGATGAAAAGACTACACCTTCATCTACTAACTCTTGTTTCACTTCATAATAATTTGTAAATGTACCATTATGTACTAAAGAAACACGACCGTGCATGTCCATATGTGGATGGGAATTACAATCAGTCTTCGGACCATGTGTCGCCCATCGTGTATGTGCAATACCAGACGTATTTCCTTCATGTTTATCCTTTGTATCTCGTAATAAATGAATGGAATCAGCTGTTCCAACCACGGAAGCAAATTTAGTTGTCACAATAGGCGACGTGTTCATCTCCTTGTCGCCATCTTCTCTTGGCTGTGATTGCGTCGACATTCCAGCAGAATCATAGCCTCGATTTTGTAAGATTGTTAATCCTTCCAGCAGAAAATCAGCAGCATTCTGTGTCTTTCCAACAACACCAACAATACCACAACAGGTTGCAGAGTGATGGTCTTGAAACAATGACAGACCTGCAATAGTTAATGTACCTGCAGCAAGAGCTACGAGCCATGAGGGAATCAAATTTGTATCATTACTAACAGATAAAATACTTAGAGTATTGATGAATGAAGTAGAACGGATCGAATGACGATGGAGAGATGAAGAAGAAATAGTGCGACTTAATGGAGTCAACACACGATGGAACATGGCAATGTAATGATAGTAAATGAAGATAGCTATATCCAGGTGGAGTGATAGGATTGGTGGAAAATAATCGAGGTACTCTTTGACAGTAGGATAACTATTAGTTTGATAGGTTTATGAATTACTACAGGTAATCAATTTCGTCCTCTCATTGCATCATAACAAGCAAATAGCGTAATACAGTACCAAGACTCATCATTGTCGTTTTTATGCATACCACTAGAAACAGACCCGTGGGTTCACAGGTCAATAATTATCCAACCCGCACTTGAACTTGTCAATTCCAAACATTCATTTTGGATTTTATCGTTTTCCGGCGTGATTACGTCGTCATGTTGAGGATCAGACATGTCCTAACACTGCCTAAACCTCTTGTACGTTATCATCATTTCTCTCCATACCTCTTCTTTATTTTGACTCTGTACAATGTTGATACTATCATCAATGGCTGTGTATTGTTATCTGAAGCAGCTTCATACACGTTGGATGAGTGCATTGATAGACGACTCGACCTCTTCCATTCTCACACCCGCTGCACGTAAATTGGCATTCAAAGATGAATTGGAAAAGGCCCGTGAGCGCGCACTTCAAGGTGGAGGAGCTGAGCGCGTAGCAAAGCAGCACGAGAAGGGTAAACTCACAGCCCGTGAACGGATTGAGCTACTGTTGGATCAGGGAAGCTTTCGTGAATACGACATGCTCAAGTCGCATCGATGCTCTGACTTTGGCATGGAGAAACAGCAGTATCCTGGAGATGGTGTTGTTACTGGTCGAGGTCTTATAAACGGTCGTCTTACATTTGTCTTTAGTCAGGACTTTACCGTCTTTGGCGGCAGTCTATCCGAGACGTATGCCGAAAAGATTGTCAAAATTATGAACAAAGCCATGGAGCTTGGGGCACCAGTCATTGGACTTAATGACTCTGGCGGTGCTCGTATACAAGAAGGTGTTGCTTCTCTAGCTGGATATGCTGACATTTTTCAGCTGAATGTACTAGCGTCAGGTGTCATCCCGCAACTTACGATGGTCATGGGACCGTGTGCCGGTGGAGCCGTTTACTCGCCTGCTATGACCGACTACATCTTTATGTGCCGTGACTCATCGTACATGTTTGTGACAGGACCTGATGTCGTAAAGACAGTAACAAACGAAGAGGTCACACAGGAAGAGCTGGGTGGAGCTGCAACCCACACAAAGACTTCCGGTGTCGCACACTGCGCGTTTGACAATGATGTAGAGGCTATTCGTGAGATGCGCCGATTTTTTGATTTCTTGCCGCTGAACAACAAGGAGAAGCCTCCTGTGCGCACGTCAGACGACAAGCGTAACCGCCCTGTGCCCGCGCTTGAGAGTATCGTGCCCCCCGACCCCAATGTACCGTACAACATGAAGGACATCATCCACCAGGTCGTGGACTCGTTTGACTTTTTCGAGATCATGCCTGACTATGCCAAGAACATTATCATTGGTTTTGGTCGCATGGAAGGCCGTGTGGTGGGCATTCTGGCGAATCAGCCCATGGAGCTTGCTGGTTGTCTGGATATTAACTCATCTGTCAAGGGTGCGCGTTTCGTGCGCTTCTGCGATGCCTTTAACATTCCTATTGTGACGTTGGTGGATGTACCTGGATTCCTGCCGGGCACCGACCAAGAATACGGTGGCATCATTCGTCATGGCGCCAAACTACTTTACGCGTACGCCGAAGCGACTGTACCAAAGATCACAATCATTACGCGCAAGGCATACGGCGGCGCTTACGACGTCATGAGCTCAAAGCATCTCCGTGGTGACATCAACTATGCGTGAGTGTTGTCTTGTGTTTTTTCGTTTGGAATGGTGACGAGTGTTGCTGACTTGTTTGCTCTTGTATGACAATGCTAGTTGGCCGTCAGCTGAGATCGCCGTGATGGGAGCCAAGGGCGCCGTCGAGATCATTTTCCGCGGGCAAAATGTGGAGGAGAATACTGCAGACTATGAAAAGAAGTTTGCCAACCCTATGGTATGTTTACAATCGCGTTTGTTTGTTTCTCCGACAGCTTCTTGCGCCACCTGACACAACGAGCTTTCTGACATTACAATACCTTATTCACTCGATATTTTGCTCACAGGTTGCAGCACAGCGTGGATTTGTGGATGACATCATTGAGCCTATCAATACTCGCCGTCATATTTGCGAGGATCTAGATGTACTAGAGACGAAGGATGTGAAGAACCCGTGGAAGAAACACGGCAATATTCCGCTGTAAGCGCGTACCGTTTACGACACTTGTCAAATGTGATAACCTTGAAAAACCGTTTCGTAAAACCTACAACACCTGTACAAGTTGATTTAACCTCGCTCATCCATTATCAATCTGCAATTGTCACACTCAAGCGCAAGACCATCACTCCTGATTCAATCATGGCCAAATTGACGTTGTCCTCCCGCACGCCACAGACTGTCGACTCATTCCTACAGTTTATTAACAAAAGTCCATCACCATTTCATGCCGTATATGAGATTGTGCAAAAACTGACTGCCGCTGGCTTTCAGCAGCTACGTGAAGAGGATTCGTGGAAAGATGTCGTCCAGCCTAATGGCAAATACTATGTGACGCGTAATCAGTCCGCTATCATTGCATTTGCTGTGGGTGGTCAATACCAGCATGGCAATGGCTTTCATGTTATTGGTGCTCATACTGATAGTCCATGTCTTAAGGTCAAGCCCGTATCCAACATTGAGTCTCAGGGCTGGTTACAGGTGGGCGTCGAGACGTATGGAGGAGGTCTATTTCACACATGGTTTGATCGTGATTTGGGACTTGCAGGGCGCGTTATTGTGCGTGAGAGTGACACGAGCTTTCAGTCCAAACTACTGCTTGTTGACCGTCCGATTCTGCGTATTCCCACACTTGCAATCCATTTGGACCGTAAAGTCGGGGAAGGCTTTACATTCAATAAGGAGACGCATTTACGTCCCGTAATTGCCTCAGCTGCTCGTGCTGAACTAGAGGCGACACTGGATTGTAAGGATCAGCCAAAGTCCAAGCATTCGTCGGTTCTGCTGCAGCTCATTACAAAAGAGTTGGACGTGACGATTGATCAAATTTGTGACTTTGAGTTGTGTCTATTTGACACACAGGGAGGAAATGTTGGTGGACTGTTGGACGAGTTTATTTTCTCGCCCAGATTGGACAATTTGTGCTGCTCGTGGCTGGCCACGCAGGCGCTAATCAATTCACTGGACAATCTGACGGGCGACGAAAACGTCCGTGTAGCGGCACTTTTTGATAACGAGGAGGTAGGATCGCAGTCTCTTATGGGAGCCGGGTCCAATTTCATGCAGTCGGTGGCGGAGCGTGTGGCACAAGGGGAGTTGTGCGGCGCCGCGGCCAGGAAATCGTTCATGGTGTCAGCTGATATGGCACACGGCGTACATCCCAACTATGCTGAGAAGCACGAACAGAATCACCGACCAGCTATACATGCAGGACCAGTGATTAAGTACAACGCCAACGAGCGTTACGCCACAAGCGGCACGTCGGCTTTTTTGATGAAAGAGCTTGCACGTCGTCATAATGTGGATATTCAGGAGTTTGTGGTACGTCAAGATACCGGCTGCGGTTCCACGATTGGTCCTATTCTCTCGACCAGTACGGGCATCCGTACGATCGATGTGGGTCTTGCACAACTGAGTATGCACAGTATTCGTGAGATGTGCGGTACTGAGGATCTAGTGAAGTCACTGGATTGGTTTACGGCTTTCTATTCGGAGTTCTCGTCCATTGACAAGTGCCTAAAGACTGATTAAACTGTGCTGATTGATTTAATAAGTACTAATACGGGAGCATGGTTGCTAAGGTAATGGGAGACCTAACGCTGGTATATTTAGAGCTCCGTTGCTGCGTTCGTGTTATGTAACTACGGATTGTAGTGTAGTTGTACCAGCAAGTAGTTTCTGTCAGGTTTAGTGCCTATGACAGTTTTGATCGTGGCTTTCGTAGCAAAATTACAAGCGCAGATGGTTCACAATTCACGAGCAGCATTGAGTCAAGCCTTTGGATTAAACGTTTGTCCTATTGAACATCAGCAACGAAGAAGAGGAATTGCTTGCAGAGCTTTGCGGCGACGGCCTGACCGAAATGAAATTGGTACTGCTACCAAACCTCGTTTCGATCGCAGATACTTAATCATATTATCACGAGATGCTCAGCTTCTCTCGCTACTAGCTGGCCGGCTTAGGATACTCTGTGGTGTTTCGACTGCATCTACGTAATCAGATTGCAAAACCCATAAGCCACAATACCTGCCTGCTCCTGCTAAGCTGACGACCTTCTGCGGTCTGCCGGCCTGATTCGCTGTTACGCACAATTTTGTCTTCTCTAGCTGTAACCTAGAAAGAGGCCCATGAAAGGGAAGGTCTCTAGCAAAGCAGCCAAACATGACTGGCGCAGCCAAGCATGACTGGCGCAGCCTCACTACTCAAAACTTATCGATTAAACTCCAAAAGTGGCATACCATTATGAACAAGTCGATGACGACATCCGTTCCATGGCGTATGTCGAAACACCGTAAGTGATACCATGCTTTTTTGCAAAGCACCTAAATCAATGCAAGCATCATCTGCAGGAAGCTTGTGGCACCTTCGACACAGACCATGAGTGAAAGTAAATACTAGGACAAAGACATGATGAAGCACAAAACTTAAACCATATCATTATTGAAAGAGCGCTGAATGCCTGCAAACAACAACAAACATCTAGGGATCCATTGAATCGCATCATGGCTATCGTTTCTTAGCACAACAATGAACATATCCCTGTAAATGTGTTAGTCAGTAAGAGTTTCAACATTTTTTCGTTCCGCTTTTCGAAGGTTTGATGACGTTCTGAGCGATGAGTCCTATTCCTTCTTCTCTGTTGTTGCCGTCGCGGAAGGATACAATATCAGCTCTTGGTCCTTATCCAGTGGCTTGAAAAATGCCTCCACCTCCTTAGCCGTCACCTTGGTAATGTCGCGCTTTGTCCATTTTGGGTTACGGTCCTTATCCACGACAACGGAACGGACGCCCTCGAAGAAGTCCGGATTCTCCATCATACGCGTAGCCACCCGGTACTCCATCTGGAAGCACTCCGCGTACGTCTTCACGGCTCCCTGTCTCATCTGCTCTAGCGTGACCTTTAGGCTCAACGGCGACATCTTTTTGAGCGTTGCTAGCGTCTCGTTCGACCACTTCGTATTCAATTTCTAAGCAAAGTGAATGTGTACCGATAATACCGCGTTAGACAATATTCCAGTATCAGAAGCTACAACCAGGCATAGGTAATATCCCGTTCGACGCACCTCTAAACGCTTGAAAATTCCTTCCACTGTGTCGTCCTCATTATGAGCGCCGAACACCGATTCAACCGTCTGGAGATACTCTGCATAGTAATACAGAAGAACAATCGAAGACAGAACCGTTAGCAAAATCGCAACTTCAGCGTCATCATCGTAATCTTTTCCAAAGTACCCGGGTCAATCTCTTGAAAGGCCTCGTCAGTCTCAAGTTCCTCCAGAGCTTCGTGAATCATCTCATCACGCTCCTCTTGTGTCACATGTTTGGCAAACTCTAGACCCGTTAGGTGGTGCACTAACGTCTCATACTCACTTGTCGGCAGGTAATGTGTGGCGAGTCCAAGACCAATCACCTCGTGGCCCTGTAGACGCTCGCCCGTCAATGCGAGGTGCGTTCCTAGCTGAGGGTTGTATTACAAGAAACAAAACATCCATCAGCCTTTTTTCACATTGCAAATATTGTTATGTCACTTACACCTTGGCCCTTAAGAGCCTGTGACTTGGATACGTCAGCCACATAGTCCTCGCCTTCAGTAAGGCGGCGTCCAAGTCTTGGTAGAAGATATGAGGCTCCCACGTCAGGAAAAAAACCAATCGCTGTCTCTGGCATCGCGAACAGTGTCTTTTCAGTGGCTACTACAAATTTGCCATGCATGGATAATCCCACACCTCCTCCCATGGTGACTCCATTGAGGAAAGAGATAATAGGCTTCTCAGTAGTTGCTAAAAGATAGTTCAGACGGTATTCGTGGCGGAAAAAATCAAGCGCTACGTGACGCGTCGCTGGATCTTTACCGTTATCCGCCAGGGCACGGATGTCTCCTCCAGCGCAAAAGGCTTTGCCTCCATTTCCAGAAAACACTATAGCGTTCACAGTGTTATTACTTTCGATCTTGTGGAGCCGCTGCGTCAAGTGCTGCGCCATAGGGAGTGTGAGCGCATTGAGTTTCTCTGGACGGTTAAACTGTACGGTGCGCACGCCTGTGTCCTGACCGTATATAATATCAGCAAAATCCGTTGTCTTGGTAGAAAACCTACAAGTCATAGAGCCATGGGCTGCCTCATGCACAGGGCGCGGTAGCATTCGCAATCGTGTCACCATCACCCGCTGCATTACGACTGAAACTTGTTGTGCAAAGGCCAATTAATGGAAACGTGTGGTGCATGTGTTTTCATTGGTTAAAATTAATCCTTATATCGCCAATAATGAAAAGGGAAACCTTCAAGACCATCATTCTTGAAATTCCGCACGATCAATGGAGACGGTAGATAGCGCGCGTGAAGAAGAAGATGTGGAGATGTGGAAAGCAGCTCTGGATGAAGATGCTTTTGATAAACTTAGTGAGACAGATATAAGCTATGCAACAACACATGTATCAACTTCTATGAATCTAGAGCCTAGCCAACGACAAGAGCAATCAAGTACACATCGACTGAGAATTGGTGCAACTACTAGGCAAAGATTCAAGCGCAAAAACTTTAGTAAACAGCTACAACTCCTGTGTCTTCAACGTTATGCACAATACGCACGAGACTATGGTCATCTTCCGGTAAAATACGAGACACAGCAGATTCTACAGCAGAGTTATTTGCAGTTCCTGAAAGAAGGTGGTACGGCTGATGAACCTCGACTTACTCATGCAGAATTCCTGAAACTTATACGTAATCGACGTCGAGAGATAAATGTAAGATTGCAATGTCCATCGAAGCAAAATAAGGACGAACACGTGACGGTTAGGAAGATGGCGGCACTTACGCCTGCTAAAAGGAAATTACAAGAGGAGCATGCTAAAATTCAAGAACTTATGGAAGTGATTGATAGAGCAAGAGAACAAACAGGATCAACTCTCGACCTTGGGCGTCAAGAGCGACGTCTTCGATCGCAGCAAGCTGCAGTAAAGCCGAGCCATGCACAGCAGCACCAACAGCAGCTTCCAACGACAGTGGCACCGTCCACGACAAATAATGTACCGTCACTTCGTATGCCATCCGATTCAATAGGACCAATAGAGGCAATATTACAGATTCATTTGGAAACACGGGAGGTGCAACGTGAGATTGCAGCAAGGCTGCGATCTATCAGTCGCATAATAAGCCAGCATGAAAGTCATGGAGATATTGAAACACCACCAAGTGCTAGCGTGTGAAATTATGGAGTGGTGTATGCGATTGCCAAGTGCCAAGTTTATTTATACGTTTTGGAGATATTGTCTAAACTATCCAGGCATGTAGCGATGTGGTCTTTCGGATTCTGTGTGTCCGACAAAGCGCTTTTTTTCTGCAAGTGTCAATAAGATCATTTTTTGGCGCGATTGTCAATATTGAGATGTCGTGCTTCCCATCAGGCATGGCATCTTCGCGTTTCGGCTTGATAGCTTATTTTGTCAATTTTGTAGGAACACGTACGGGACGGGTGTTAACGCAGCTGCTACAGGGTCTTTTGGTGCACGGAAGGTCATAATTGCACATGGACAAGTTGCGCTGAAGTGGCGAGTCAATCTCAAAGTTAAGATTATCTGCGGCTGATTTTGTTGAGTTTTGTCACATTGTTTCCAAGCAATTATCCAAATCATTTTTACGCAAAGGAAGCAGTAATGAGAGGTATCATATTAGTTAAAAAGACACGAGAACGCATAATTAAAGCCATCAACAAGGCGTCCTGCTTTGACTTCTCGGGCAGGTACCATTCAACACAAATATCTAAGGACGCGCTAATGACGACCAGTTGTTGTTTCAAGCAACACATCTTGAAGATGCACTTGGTCCGACTTGGAATCGCGCTAGTGTCTGAACAGACTTCAGAGTTGTTTGCGTAGCAGTGTTCGAGATGAGTCGTCAGTGCTGACCACGTATAAAAAAGAACGATCGCCACAATATCATAGTTGCTCTACCTAAATCCAGTCGCCTTCGCTATCGTCACTGTCATACTCGTCATCGCTATCAAATAAGGTGGAGCCTGATGAGGACTGTGAGTTCAAAGCGCCATCTATGTGCGCAACCGGTCTTGCCACTGGAACAGCATCATCGGGGAAGGAGTTCGAGTGGTTGTATGAGCTGGAAGCCGAAAACTGTGACGACAGGCCAGAGGAGATGCACGAGTCACCCGACGACAGCTGTGACTGCTTCCCGTACATAGTGTGACGCTGCGGCAATTCAGACACTTTGACAACTATTCCCATCGGCTTCGACGGCACAACTGCTATTGAATGCCGCTTCCCATTGTGCTGCATACTTTGTTGCTGCTGATATTGCTGATTAATCCTCGTCGGCGATGGTCTATGGATTGACAACGAGTGGAGAGAATTACGCACCGCCAGCGATTGCCGTACATTGTTCTGTTCCGCGTTAGCCGCCTCAATGGCGTCGCTCAGCTTGCAAAGCCACAATTCCATCTCCTCACTGTCTTTCGCTGAAACACGCAATACTCGTCCATTGTCAAATGTGATGTCCAGACCCTTCAATACTGTGTCGTTCACTTCTACAGCTCGCACATGGCCGTGCCCCTTGGCCGTCGCGCCCGTGTCTTCTGAATCAAAATATGACAGCGCGTTTCCACGCAGCACAAAGTAGCGGCGTTTCCAGCTCTTAACACGTGCGCCTTCCTTCTTAAGCCAGCCCGAGTGTGTTACCTGTCCCATACTGTCTTCAGTCAAAGACAAAGACTCGACGCGGTTCCGTAGCACCGTCTCGTCGTTTAGGCCTCCGCTATTCACGGATTTGAGCGTGTTGTTGGTCGATAATGTCGAAAGCCGATCAGGAGGCGCCGACATGAACTGCTGTGGGGCTACCATAGTAGCTTCCAAGATCATGTTATACCAGGTGCTAGTAGTCTCGGCCGATGCCGTATAGAGCTTCAGTACGCGACCGCCACGACCGTGCACCAGTAGTCCGTTCTGAATGTCAGTACTTAGCTCCACTGTGATAACCTGGAAGCTTCCTTTCGCTTTGACCATTGGTGTCACCTTTGCTGTATTATAGTACGTCAATTGTCGTCCATGCAGTACCATAAAGCGTTTTTTCCAGTTCTTTACAAGGGATCCTTGCTTGTATACCCAACCGGCATACTCACCGTCGACACCGTAGAGTGCCATTGTGTCAATATATAGGTGAGTGTGTTTTTGACTATATTGACTGTGATTAAATTAGTCACAAGAATGAGACTAGATTTGGTATTATTACGTAAGGGGGGAAAGCGTAGAATGACGACGGAAGGATAAGGAGAACGACACTCGAGTCACTTTTTGACTCACTCGTAAGGCAGAGGCTTTCTTTTTTTTGACAGAAAATCAACACAAAAATAAGGTTATTGTAGGAATAACCGGACGTGTGTATACAGAAAGAGACACACCGTTTACATTGATTTCGATGGCGGTGTGTGGCTAAAGTTCGGGAGTCAGATGGGTAACCCAGCCAAAATAAATGTTCCTATCTATAAATAGAAACAGCTATTATAAAATATCGCAAGAACTTTTTGCGATCCCATCAGCCTTTTCTTATTTCTCCTGGATGAGATACGATATAGTGTAAAACCTATCTACAGTCATAATGAATAATGTCCGAGTTTCTTGCTATTTTTGTAAGTATGACGAAAAATTACAACTCGATAAAGGATAAACCTGCCATTGTGGAGTGTTCATACCTTTAATAAAGGCTGAAAAGACGAGTTAAATCGTCCATGTAAACGCATACTCTTGAACAGCAATAAAGGTACGTTCGAAAAAAACAGTGATAACTTGTGTACGGTAGCGTATACTTTTGTCCATAGTATACACTCCAAAAATCCAGGACCTGCTTTTGTCTTACCATACAAATAATAGAACAATTGGCAGATCACGAAAGCATAGGTAGCAAGTATACAATGGTTGCAGAACGTTGTCATTGAACATGCTGTGTGTTTTACATGATAATGCAACAACAGGCCTTGACTTGAGGATCATTTGATTTACTAGGTGGATACATAAGGATCGTGTTTTCCTTCCTCATTGCTTCCCGACGCTCTTCCTCGAGCTCCTCCTGTAGTAACTTCTCTGCCAATCGCATTCGGCGAATCGTGCTAGTAGCTGGCGCTGTGGGAGAATACGGTTTCTCTCTATTGTCTTCTCTCTCGCGTTCCTCGGCCACTTCAATGAAGCTGGATGTATTGTCGGGCATTGTTTCCACTACAATATGGCGTCGAAACGAGCTAGCAACATAGAGCTCAGGCAAGCTCTTGCTCTCTTTATCTTCACCAGTCTGGGTGGATGTATCTCTCTCCGTCTTGGTCTCTTCATGCAATACTGCTTCACCACGAGAATGCGTTGTTGGTAAGGCATTATCTTTCTCAATGGAAACAGGAGGTTCAAACAACGAGCTTGCTTCTTCTTCCGTCACGTCAGTGCTTATCTCGTTCGTGGCTTTTGCACTCGCCTGTCGTTTTGCAAACTCTCGGTCCCTCACATTCCTCGGGTCATCATCGGTCGACGTCTGTTTTCGATGACTTTTCCTCTGATCCGGAGTATCCTGGAGACCACGTCGTAGAGCTTGATGCCAATTTTCAATATCAACGTCTGACGTGCCTCCAACTCGCATCTCTCGCCCTGCTTCAAACGTTACTACCAGTGTAAAAGGCCTCGTAGGATCTCTTTTTGCACCAATAACTCGACCACCTCCTAATCTTTCGGCTCCCATCGTAGCTGCATACGTCAGTTGCGTACCATTCAATACAAAATAACGTTTCTTCCATGTACGAAAGTGCTGTCCTTCTTTCTCAAGCCATCCCATCCGCTGTTGTGCGTCATGTCCTAAAGTCTCGTCGAGCTTACAATATTTAAGTATTGCCTCGTAACAGCGATCACATTCTGCCTTTGTATCGGTAAAAATCTTGAGCTGTCGACCTACAGTTCCATGGATTAATAGACCATTTGTAATATCTGGTAGACGTTCAATATGCGCGGCTGTCAGTGCGCCCAGCAATTGAGCATGATTTTCCTTGTCTGTATTCTTGTAATAGGCTAATTCTGCACGTTTACAGACCAAGAAACGTTTCTTCCACGACCGTACGAGACTTCCTTCCTTGAAAACCCAACCAGCATATGTCACCCCAGAGGAATCTTCACACCCCATTATGCTACTTAAGTAACTCCGATGAATCGATCTAGTCGGAATACACGAATTGATACAAAATCAGATTCCTGGTTTGTCCTGTTGAAAATGTCTCGTAATGCACCTAAATTAGAAACTTCTGGTTGGGTATCTGTTTGTTTGTGTGCATAGACCACATTTTTGATTGATTCGAATCTCTAGTCATTCCTAATCTTACTTCCTACTACTTCATGGCAGTCATTGTCTTTATTGCTTGCAATTTACGTAAGTATTGTATGCATTTGATCCATCACTATTTGTCCAGCATTTATGTCACGTGCTGTTGACGCCCACGACTGTTGTTGGAGTATTTGTTGCCCATGGATTACATTAGATTACAACATGGAGTGCATCCAGTAACTGGTAGTTCTCCAGTTGCTAGCTTTTCTGCTAAACGTTGGTTGTGGATTCGCACATCTTCAGCAAGTAATTCACGATAGTAGTCTTCACCATTGATAGTAAGACTCATGTCTTCCTTCTCCTCTTCTTCTTCATCAAACATTAGCTCACCTATGAAAGTACGGGATGTGTTAAGGACCGTATCGTTGTCTGATTCCAAGACTGTCGCTTTCCCGTTCTCGTCACGTAGCCGCAATATAGTATCGTTACTGATCGTGTCGTTCAGATAATCGCTCGGGTCGAATCGACTCATTCGTGTTGTACTCTCTCCATCACCGTCTTCTGCCTCGGAGTCGACAACATCATCGCTCGCATCAGAACATCCACGAGTCATCTTACTGTTGAGTAAATCGATCTGAGAAAAGACTCGAAACCACGACTTGATCTCAGCTTCACTTGCTGCTGTCACGCGCATAGTCTTGTCACTACGAAACGTGATCACGAGAGTCTTTGGCTTCGTATCATCCTGATGAGCACCTTTTACAATGCCATGCCCTCGTGCTACACCGCCAATCTCGCTATAATAGATCAAAGCACTATTTTTCAACGTGAAGAAGCGCCGTTTCCAAGTCTTGAATCGCTGGCCTTCCTTTTGCAGCCAACCACTGTGACTTATCGAGACTTTCGAGTTCTCAGGCGATCGATTACTGTCCATGATACTATTCACCGTTGGTGTCGCCATTACTGCTAATGTTCGGTCGTTCTCTTCTGACACAGCTTTTCGAATCGAATCGAGCCATTTATCAAACTCCTCAGTTGATTCAGCATGAACAATTAGCTTTCGGCCACCAACAGTAGATATCACTAGTCCTCGGGAGATCGATGGATGCACAGCAACATTCACAACGTTGACAGAACGCAGTAGAGAGCCCTTTTTGCTTTTATAATAACTCAGCTTTGACCCGTAGAGAGTAAAGTATCGCAGTTTCCAGCTCTTGATATTCTTGCCTTCCTTCTTTAGCCACCCTACACATCCCTGTGAGTCATTTGGGGTCATTGATGACGCTTCAATCACACGTGGAACAATTTCAGACTCGGCAACGTTGTCGTTACAATCCTCTGACGATGTTGAGCTGCTTAATGCGTCGTACTCGGGTTTGTTTTGCATGGCTGCAATCCACAAGGAAGCTCCTTCACCGTCAAGTAGAGTCGTTTCGTACTCAGAAATGTTCTCAACGGTGAACTCCACATCCACATCATTTACATTCTCACACTCACCTATGTCGTTATCAAATTCTTCACCAATGACAGCGTTTCCATTACTTTGTGCTAAAAATGACTCGACCAAGTTAGATGCTTTGCGAAGCACATCAAACCATTTCAAGAACGCTTCTTGGGTTGGTGCAACGACATGAAGCAGTCGGCCGTTCTGAAACCGAACGTCGAGACAAAAAGGACGGAGATCTCCCACCTCTACTTCAAACACTACACCAGAGCCCAAGATTTCGCTTCCAGCAGACGCACTGTACGCTAGACGACTGCGTTCAAGCACAAAATATCGTCGTTTCCAGGTTTTAAAGTTTTGTCCCTTTTTCAATAGCCACCCGTGAAAACCATTGTCCTCGTGAATCTCTTCGTCTTCTTTTCTCAAGACGCATTCCCTCTTCATTGTGTTGTCTGCTGCATTCCGCGATGCCTTGCAAAGAGCAGTATGCCACGCCTCAGTGTCAGCTTTTGTTTCACCGTACACGTTGAGAGTACTTCCATCATCAAATTGAACACCTAGTGACCCTGTTGACTCATTGCTACGAGTGACGCTAGTCACATTTCCAAGTGCCTCCGACGTCCCGTTTACATGTTTGTAGTGATGAAGAGTATTTCCGCTTAAAACAAAGTACCGCAGCATCCATGACGACGTGTCGCTTCCTTGTTTGTACAACCATCCCCTCTTCATACGGTTATTATCAACCTTAGAGACTTGAGTGTTAGAAAAGCGATCGGCATCAGAAGGAGTTGATGATCGTTCACTTGGTGACAGTGACCTGGACTTTTTGTTGTCTTCATACATGTGTCGGTCAAACGACAATTGATGACGCTTGCTGTGTCGACTTTCAGTCGGTGACGGAAATGCCAAATCGGAAAGTTTTTCAGCTGAATGCAGTTGCGGTTTTCCTACTGCATCACATAGTGCACACATCCACTTAGTCAAGTCGTAATGTAACTCAGTACGTACACAAATGATGTTGCTATCACTAAGCAATCTGTCTGACCCAAGTATGATTTCTAATGCACCACTATACTCCCTGCTGTATCTGACATCTGTCACCTTTATTTCCGCCAATACCTGATCCATGGGTCCTCCCCTTACGATACTCCAGCATTCCATTCGCTAATAATGACATATAGCGCTTCTTCCAGATCTTGCTACGTTGTCCAAGCTTTTCCACCCAACCTTCACACACTAATCTCAAGTCTTTCTTTTGCGTCATTAACGACGTGTCATCGAGCATCTCTATCTTTTGGATTCCATCTTGCTTTTTAATAGACCTCTTCTGGGTCATTTGTCCTCCTGATAGTCGAAAGCTTGTTTCCTGCTCTCCAATGGCTTGTTTAATTTTACGAAATAGCAGTCGACTTTCCTCTACACTAGATGTTGTCATCATGAGATGTTTCTCTTTTCCATGAATCCATAACCCGTTCTTCCGCTCGGGTGTATAATCCACATCCACCACTTGAAGACGACCTTTTTCACCACTGCCCGCGCCACTGCCATCGCTCCTCACTCCAGAAAAATAAACCAGTTCACATCCATGAAGAACAAAGTACCGGTTCTTCCATGAACGTACTTTACTGCCCTGTTTCGCACCCCAACCACAATAATCCGGTGCTGCAGGCATTGGGGAACTGACTGAATTGACTGAACTGACTCACAAGTTGAGGACCAAATGAGCCGAATAGAAGAAAAACGGTTGTGAATAGATTGAGTTTTCTAATCACGAAATATCTCTCTTGCTTGACAAGACGAGGCTTAACAGCTGGGAGTGAGTGAGAGCTACACTGAACGGTATAGGATTCAATCGACACAGCTTACTCTGAATTCTAGAAGACCTTAAACGTATCATCGAGCATGATCAAACCTTTCACGTCTTTATAGCTAGCTATATATATATATATGTACATGATTGATATCCTTGCAATGTTTTCATTCATATGGTCGTCACAACACTTATAAGTCGAGTAGGATGGATTCATGACATCACCTTAGCAATTGATAGTGACAGTAAGTCCGTTAAATTTGCATCAGTGTTGAAACAGACCGTGGCAAGCTTTCCAGACGCGAAACGACGTTCAAAGTGACATCGACATCTTTTACGGTGTCTCTACTCACTGCATCTCGTGACGAGCATGGAATACACTTTTCTAGTGTTCTTACAGTTGAACCTTCAAGTAGTACATGACATGACGGAGTGCTTTGTTGCAATTGATGCAACCTCAACAACACCTGTCCCCTTCATCAACTGGATTGCCTACAATACAGCAGTTGCATCGGCATTTCATACAGTGTCCAACCTGTGCTGTTCGAACGTAGCAATATCAATGACGGCAGACGGTTCACTCGACGCGGATCTTCTCAGCACGTGAGAGTTACATGCTGTCTCTGTCATGCTGACAAGGCGGGCCGGTTTGTCTTTCCTCCAAACCATATGTGATGGTCTGCGTACAACTATAACTCGTCCCAGGGACGTGCAGAACAGTAGATTGTAAATTAGTACCGAACTTGACCTGGTCCTCCATTCTTCTAGCACGAGAATCACAATCCTGCACTAAGAAATGCCTTGAACAAATACAGGTAACATAGCTTCACACCGCGGCATTCCACGCCTGATACAGTTGGTAGCAGACGAATGCAAGATGACAAGAAGATTCCGGATGACTAGGATGGCATAGTGCGGGTATATTTAGCTTATGGGCCGTTAAGAATGATGGAGCATCGACGATGAACCGAAGACCCAGTAATACAAGCTCCTTCTCATCATCACCAGGTGAAGAATGAGTTCATGTCTTTTGACACAACTGCGCCAATGTCTACAAGATGCAGTGCAACGCTATCGATGCATGAAAGCTTAGGCGGACATGTCTCCGACTGACAACAGATGCACGTGTGGCGAGTAGTCAACTACACGACCCCCGGTTTCCTTTAAAAAAAAAAAAACCCCAAAAAAAAATTAAAATTTTTTTTTAATTTTTTTTCTTTTTTTTTTGGTTTAAAAGAAAAGCACCAGACAACAAACCGGCAACCAATTACGTGACTTTCAGCTTTGCATCAGCTCATGCGTCGCGTCAAAAGGTCTAAAGACTCGACCAATTTGGGCATCATAGCACTCTGACAATAACTACTCGACACTAAATGAAAATTCAACTGGCGTTGGGACCTGTCATGGTCGTAACATGCTTCAAGCAGCGTATTGTTATATACAATATGAATGCAATCATGTCAGGTTACATGAAGTTGCTACTTGCTACTGTCATTTTAGTCTAGTGCATTCATTACATTAGAGACATACTTGAAAACTTTCTTGTTGAAATGACCTCTACATCGTTACGACATCAGTTGTTACTATTCATGTCATTTGTTGGTACGATTATACTCTTCTTATTGTAAAAGTGTCTTCATATTACAATTTACGAATCAAAGCCAAACAGATCTTTCTATATATTTATATAGGCAAAAGAGACTGTAAAAACACTTGCTCTCATGCCCACTCTCTTCCTCTCCCTGTCTTTACTACACTTGACCATAGTTTCGAGTCTTGTTCGATCTCTTAATGCTGAGCTTACAATACCAAGAGCGTGTTCTACTGAGTTACATGAGCACTTCCCCTTTTGTAACGCTTCACTATCAATAACTGAGCGAATGGAAGATCTCTTGAGCCGTTTGCCACTGGACGAGAAAGTGCTACTACTTACAGCTCGTGCTAGTCCCTATGGAAATATGAGTACGATAGGTCTTCCAGAGTATAATTGGGGTGCTAATTGTGTCCATGGAGTCCAGTCCACATGTGGCACAAATTGTGCAACGTCGTTCCCGAGTCCCGTCAATATGGGGGCAATTTTTGATCCAGAAGCAGTTTTTAACATGACACAAGTCATTGGCTGGGAACTACGTGCTCTGTGGCTTGAAGGAGCTAGAGAGAACTATGCTTTAGGTCCTCACTTGGGACTTGATTGCTGGTCTCCTAATATTAACATTAACAGAGATCCTCGATGGGGACGTAACATGGAGACACCGTCAGAAGATCCACTGGTCAATAGCAGGTATGGCGTCGCCTATACTAAAGGGTTGCAGGAGGGCAAAGACAGTCGTTTCTTGCAGGCAGCCGTGACGTTGAAACACTATGCGGCGTATTCATACGAATCCTACGGCGGAATTGACCGCAGGGCTTTTAATGCTGTCGTGTCGAAATTTGACTTTGCAGACACGTACTTGCCGGCATTCCAGGCATCGATCCTGGAAGGCAAGGCCAAGGGGATCATGTGTTCGTACAATCGTGTTAACGGCATACCCATGTGTGCCAATGAAGAGCTGAATACCAAGTTGCTGCGTGACGCACTGGGGTTTGATGGCTATATCACGAGTGATTCAAGTGCGATTGAAGGAATATACCGCTATAATCATACCAAGTCGTTGTGTGAAGCGGGACGGCTTGCAATTTTATCTGGAACGGATGTCAACAGTGGCAGTGTGTACAAGAAGTGTTTGGCAGAGCTTGTGGCTAGTGGACAGGTGTCTGAAAAGGCCGTAGACGATGCAGTTAGAAGGACACTGAAGATCCGGTTTGAGCTAGGCTTATTTGATCCCATCGACGATCAGCCGTACTGGCATGTGCTACCAAGCGAGGTGAACACGGCTGAATCCAAGCAACTAAGTCTTAACCTTACACGTAAATCGCTGGTTTTACTGCAGAACCACGGCAATATTTTGCCACTACGCAAAGACAAAAAGCTAGCAGTAATTGGGCCGCATGCGAAGGCGAAACGTGCTCTACTTGGTAACTATCTGGGTCAAATATGCCACGGTGACTACTTAGATGTTGGGTGTGTCCAGACACCACTGGAAGCGATTACCGATGTCGTTGGTAAAAGTAACATCTTGTACGCCGAAGGGTGCGGTATTAATGACACGTCTACCGCCGACTTTGACGCCGCTAAAGCAGCTGCACAAGAAGCGGATTTTGTTGTTTTCTTCCTGGGCATCGACACGTCCATTGAACGCGAGGGGCGAGATCGTGAGAACATTGATATGCCCGATATTCAGATGCAGCTTCTTAAGCAAGTTCGTCGTGTTGGCAAGCCCACAGTTGTTGTGCTGTTAAACGGCGGCGTGGTGGGTGCTGAGGAACTCATCTTGTACACAGATGCTGTTTTAGAGGCGTTCTATCCTGGATTCTTCGGTGCCCAAGCCGTGAGCGACATTCTTTTTGGAGACGCTGTCCCAAGTGGCAAGTTGCCTGTTACCATGTACCCGTCCAACTATATTGATAAGGTGGACATGAAGAGTATGAGCATGACTATATACCCTGGCCGCTCCTATCGCTTCTACCAGGAGGTGCCTGTGTTTCCGTTTGGCTGGGGACTGAGCTACACTATATTTACGTTAGCTTTGGCTAATGCGAGTAATGTGGCGGGCTCGAACGAAGCTCTTGTGGTGACACGTAATTTGGACCAGACCATTACCGTCATTGTATCGAATGACGGTAATTTTGCTGGAGATGAAGTCGTGTTTGCATTCTTCCGTCCAGTAGATTTGGACGTGACCGGCACAGCTGCTTTACTGAATGAACAGTTGTTTGACTACCGTCGCGTGAGTCTGAGACCCGCGAAGTATTGTAAGCTCAGTTTCCGTATTGAGCAACGAACTTTTGCGATGGTGGATGATATGGGCAATCAGGTCAGCATTCCTGGTTTTTATGAAGTCATTTTATCGAACGGGGTGTATGAGCGTCTGACGTTTGCCGTTCACTTGGTCGGACAATATGAAACGCTGAACTACTTTCCGACGGACGAAAGATACGTCCGGACGCCAGTTTAGGCATGTATCGTTGACATGCATTGGATACCACGCGTGCTTTCAGAAACGTCCAGTACGCATTCACTCTGTTCAAAGTCAGTGTTGTTATGAACGCGGATTGATCCGTCAAACGATGTTTGTGTTGGCAAGAATGCATCTCGTTCAGCGTCAGTATACCAGTAGATACGAGTCATCGGGAAGAAATATAGCAGAGTATCAAGCAGGTTGACGGAGGCTAAGCGTAGCATCGAGACTAAGACTGAATCAATCACTTTGTGCATTTTGCTCTTACAGCTTGCGATTCTTCAGTTTATGAGCTCAAGTCCCGCAACTTGTGCTCAAGACATCACTTGCACCTGCGCCAATGAACAACCATTCGACCGCCGAATCCACAAACTCGACAGAACCAACTTCCACACGTGAAAGTTCAAGATGCAGATGGTGCTTGAGGCGCGCAAACTTTGGAAAGTCGTACGTATAGCGAGGAGACTAAGCTGGAAAAGCTGCACAACTGCGTTAGATTAAGCAACGGCTGAGCGAATGTCGCGCAAGGCGATGTTTTGCACTAAAGGGTTCGCAGCAACCATTGGTTCGGTCGGCAAGTGGCGCACATGATGCATGATCAAGACTGGAAGGACACTTTGAGAAGAAGAGCTTAGCCAACAAGCTATTTTCTGTCGACTTTTCTTCAACGATGATGACTGAAGGTGATGATGTGCTGGGACCCATGTCACTACTGCGGCGAACCTGGGCATTGGATTGCCAAGTGCCTAATGAGGATTCGTCAAAACGCAAGACGTCACAAATTGCAATGAACAAGCGCCGCTAAGGTTGCAGAAGAATCGGTTGACTGACAACTGTTGCTTGGTTGGTGGCTTAGATACCAAGTCACGTGAAATTTTGTTTGGTTCCTTGACAAAGGTGCCGTATCGTAATGGCTGCCTTATTTATCTCACGACCAGACCTTGCTATTGCAGTGGGAGAACCTCAGTCAGTTTGCTTTGTTTGGCGCCCTGCCCAACACGTTTCAAGCCCAAAGGATACTCGGATCCAGATTGGGCTGGTGATGTGGAAACTCGAAGAAGCACAAGCAGATACGTGTCTATGATAAATAGCAGGTGCATTAGCTGTAGCAGCACAATGTGGCATTACTATCGACGAAAGCGGAACACATGGTACTGATCGAAGCAACAAAACGAAGCGATGTGGCTTGGAGCAATTCTATGTGAACCTCGGCGAGAGGAAGAACAGAGAAGTATTCACAAGCTATGAAGACACGTAAGGCTCAATCACGTTGGCCAAGATCCCAGCGTACCAAGCATATCGATATTTGATACTACTTTGTTCGCAAAAAAGTGGAAGACGGTCAAATGGTCCTGCAATATCTATGACGGTGCACCTGATGATGAAGCCAATACCTACTACTAAAGATAAAGGGTAGCAAAGCGTGCTAGGAATTCTAGCATTGAGCGCTGCCGAGCTGAGTGGGAATGTTGACGAGGATACGCCTTGTTCAGCACCAGTAGATACGCCAAGTAGCTTTGCAGCTAAGGACTGAATCAATTACTTTTGTCTTTTGCTGTTATAACTTCCAACCTGCCACTTCCATGGTCAGCAACAAATTATGAATGCATTACTCACATGTATTGTCGCTATCAAAAACACCTGATAGAGTAAGTAGACTGTTGTCATTGTTGAATGTCAAGCTTCTTAGTAATTACATTTGTAGCCACGATTGACTTCTTCTTTCCAACGCGTGACTGTCATTGTAAACCATCGAGGCATCGTTTGTCTTTTGTCTCAATGTGCAACCGTATACTAAACGAGTAGGGTTAGATTTAATCGTTTCATTATCTCGATTGTATTTATATTCTTGTCATCATGTTTAATATACGGATTCATTATTCAGTTTTTCAATTTAGAAATCCGTTTCTTAATATTTGGTACGCACCAGAAGAGACAAGTCTTGCCTGAGCAGGCAGACATCAGCAGGAACGACACATTTCTGATTCTTTCTAGCCAAAGCGTGTGTGTGTGTACCTTTGACATGCGCCCTACCGATGTGCTTAGGGATTCGTATATCACACTTACACCCACAGCGGCATCGAGAAGTAGCCGAAATACGCACTTTACGCCCGCCTGTGACTTTCTGGTCCGTAAATGGGCGGCTGCTGCGAAGCGTAACGCTTCGATGGAAAGCATGAAAGTACACGAGCCTGAGCCAGAGGACGGGACAGATCGAGACTCATCCAGGACAGAAACCGATCCCAGCTCAGGACTTGGCAACGATGAGAGTCAAAGTACAGACGAAGATGACGATGTCTCAACCAGATCAGGTCTAGAATCAGATGCTGAGATTGAAGAAGATGAAGAGGAGGAGGTGGAAGAGGAAAAGGGCGTCAACATACCGACATACGTGTGTGAATTGCACGATCCAAAGCCAGTGCTCGTTGGTGAGTGTTTGATAGTGAGTTGATTGTGTTGCTAAACAAAACGTGGTCATCTTTCATCATTTCTAACATTTACTGAATAGCCGAGCAGATTCCGTGCAATCGCGTAGACATTCGAGCATGGGAGGCTCCTGGTAGACTCGAAGGATTGTCCGAAACCTTGTTGTTTCGTTATGAGATTTCCGTGGGACGTGCACAGCAGACGTTCGCGTGTTCGCCGTCGAAGACATTAGAAATATTTGAGAAACTATCCCGGGATCGAAAATGCGCTGATGAGTTGCAATTCATTGAGATGAATTGCTTGAAAGGTGGGTTCATTGGATCACTGAAGCGGATATACGCGTCAGCTGAACAGATCTCGGCGGAAGTAAGAGACGTACTGGAAGCTATTTCTGACGTGGACACTGTGCTCATGAACCCGGTTTTCTTGGATCTCGTCGGCGCGACCAAGGGATCCACATTGTGTCATGAAATTGAAAAGCTGCTAGAGTCGCACAAGAACACACAGCACATTGATGCGCTATGTATGTGCGACACGTACTACAAGTCCGTCAAACGTTACGGTGATTTCTATCACGAACAGGCACAGACAGCGAATCAGCGTCGTCAGTCGACGGTAGCCAGTGAGACGCTCATGAGATCTCGCGGTGTGCTTTCCTACTACACGGACACGATCTACATTATGGATAAACGCAAGTTTCGCCCAACACACGGACTCAAGCAGTGCAATGTCTACGGTTTTGGTCGCCGTAAATTGTTTGAGATTGTGCGGGTGTCTCGCAAGCAATGGTCTCTGTGCCATGTAAATTACGGCGAGATTTTCACACTGTCGCTGAAGAAATACGCAGGCAGCGTGCACCACATGGTAGCAGTGAAGCGCATGGTGCCCAACGTGCCGAACGGTGGACTGCGAGAGGAAAATGTTTGTTTTGTGAAGAAGTCAAAGAGTGAGGGATATCGCTGTCTGCTCATGTCAGAAGTAATCTCGCAGGGCAAAGTGACAACGTCCATTTCAATTCAAAAGCCCACATCACCACCAGGAGATCCAAATTTCCACTACATGACAATGAGCGAGGTATCCGGTCCATCGCCTGCTACAATATGCAGCAGCACATTAAGCGTCCCATGTGAGAGGTACAAACATCTTCAGCGTCTTAATGTAAGTGGTGGTAGTGATGTGGTGACGTACATTGCACTCGCTGCGAGCTACGATATCCTCGTTGGTGCTCTGAGCTATTGGATGGACCGCAAATATTAGATTGTGAAGGTTAGATGTGGGGTAAAAGTATAAGGTATCCAAATATCAAGTATCATTTTACATTGCAACAATTGGTAACAAAAACGTGGCGAGAAACCTCTTCTTCAACTCTTTTAACAATTTTTCTGATAACGTGCTGGCGATTGTAAAGCTTTTGTCAAGCTTTTGTGTCCCTCCCTATACAAAACCAGCTGTTCCGCAGTATCGTGGCATATTTCACGCATGGCGCCATGTCAAGCGCGCATGAAACCACCTAAGCTTAGATAATACTCACTGTAGGAGATAACGTGGTAAAAGTGGAGGTGACACTTATATTGACGACGTTAGTAGGAACAAACCCGAAAGTAAAATTAAGGTCAACCTGCTAAACACTGCTTCAAAGTCAACCTACTTTTTCTACTAAGTTGCACTTCAACTTCAGCTCCAGCTGCAACTTCAACTCCAACTACAATTGCAACTTCAGCTTCAACCACAATTGCAACTTCAACTCCAACTACAATTGCAACTTTAACTTCAACCACAATTGCAACTTCAACTCCAACTACAATTGCAACTTCAACTTTAAGTGCAACATGAAATCACGTCGAGTAGATAGCAAAGTGCAAACACATCGATATAGTCCTTGTCGACGATTGCAATTGTTTCGCGTCGGTGTGATGTATATACGGCCCTATTGAACACATGTTTCACGATTAGGGTCCACATATGCCGTATTCATTCCTTCATCCACTGTGTAACGTTTGGCTGTTTAACGAGCTCTGCATGGTACAGCTCCTTGTCGAAACCATAATCAAAAAAGAGCTGCAAAAACGACATGGAATACGATCATTAAGGGCTGATGCTTGAAAAAAACAGACGCCGTTTACCTCAGTATGGGGTTGAATATCGTGAGTTGCAAACAAGCCAATTCGAAAATCGCTGCTCACGTTCATGATTTTGCATATGCAGTTTGGACTCTTTGACGAGTGATTAATAAACTAAACATTCATTAAACCAGGAATAACAAGCACGTCACATACGGGGTGGAAAATGAGTCAGAATAAGTCAATCATACTTACTCGAGTCTTGTTCCCCTTTCGTGTTGAATCAATCACAGTTTTTGTATCCAGATTAAACAAATAACTAGTTGAAAGAGAAGCAAACACATACACAGTCAACTCAATTCGTTAACCAGCCAGATGTATCATCATCGTACCTGCAATCAACTTTGTCATAGACAGCACCACGTCGATCAGCTTCTTCTTGCGATACCATTTCACCAATATACTCGATGATAAACTCGTCCTTTGCAACAAAGTCATCCACAAAAAGACCCCAGCCAGCAGCACGGAGCTTCGAACGGCCCATTCGTACGTGCTTCTGTTTGCCGAGCGCGATACTGCGATTTTGACAAGTCGTTTCATGTCGATCATCAATTGTCATATTATCACTCGTGTTGCTGTTATTGTTGTAAAACAGCTCACCCTTCTCTCGCACTGCAATTTCATCTGCAGAACACACTTTACACAAATCGATATCACATTCGCGGCCTGCACAAAAGCATGGACAGGCCTTTGTACGACAGCGACCGCGCTGGCACTGGCAACCTGAAAAGAATATCTTGCACTCATCGTGGACACAATGACAATGCTTTGAGCAAAATATGCCATCTTCAACACAAGAGCAAATGCCTGGCTCACACGACCCTAAGTGGGAGCAAGGCTCAATTCTATACAAGGAGGGGAACAATCATGTCAGATGATCTGTGAAAACGACAGACCGAGTTATGGAGTTTGGATGGATACATTACGTACTTGATCTGAACAGAATTCACTACGCCGTTTCGAGAATCTGTCGGTCATAAATGAAGTGAGCAAACATACCAGTCGCATATCCCATTGTGCAGCCCCTGCTTAGTCCGATACTACAATCATAGTAATTGTGATCTCCTATGCCTCAGTAGAGAGGCTCATGGGCGCGATTAATTTAGTGTATGTCATTCCGTGTGGCCACATTGCTTTGGATCTTGGAGCATGAAGCGTATCTAGGACGACAAAATGACCTGTTGGTATGCAAACGTACTCTGTAAATGGGCGATTGACATTCGGGCACTCTTCTTCTTCCGCGATCGTCGACATTTTGATTGCACACGAGCCTACTTGTTTACATCGACATACCGTTATACAAATGCAGTGTTATCAAAACTCGACGTTTTATCCACACGTACCTTAATTGGCAAACTGCGGTCATTAATATTGCAGTACGCACATATCTCGGCGACTTCCTTGCAATTTTTGTCGCCAATTATCTTCGCCATTTCGCAAAAGTTTCCTGCGCACATAATATAAGTGCGTGCACAAAGGATGCTCGTCTGTCTGTTCCACTTGAAAGTGGCAGAGACAGCGCGAGCCTTGGAAATGCCATTGAAGCTCGAAGAACTCGTTGTGCTAAGAAAACAGTTGTTTTCACAGTTGCGGCCTGTGTTGATCATTGTTCTCTTCTCCTCCATGTTCCGCGCAACGGCATTTTGTTCCAAGATAATCTATAGACCGTACTAATCGCATTAGATTGGTGAGTCAATCAACACAAACGTGTCGTACTCTCACCAGCTTGGACTGTTCTTTGCATCCGTGGTAGTCACAGTCATAAACAAAGCAACGTCGACAGAAAAGGCCTGTGTACAGAGTTGACAATCGGCAGACCACACCAACGCGCATTCATTAGATTTGATTTCGGACAATGCAGCATATCCGCAATCACATTAAGGAGACAGAGCACGTACTGCGATACGAATCAGCTAGTTTCTCGTACAACCGAACGTATTCGTCCATTGATATATTCGGATCAACAGAGTTCAGCAAGTCATCCTTAGCTCGTTCATCCATATTAGAATTAGTCTGCCCTTTTACAACAACTATTGCTTCCACTCGTCGTCTTTTCTTCGCTTCGTGTTGTGATAGACGTAAATGTTTGTGCACTTCAACCAGCACCTACTTTCTCACAAAACAACAACGTCAAGTGATAATTGATCAGCAAATAAGAATACGTTCAAGGACACACCACAAGCTCTTTCTTTCTGACCTCTTCTTCCACTTTAAGCACATTTGCCACGCGCTTTAGATCGCTTACGGTAAGATCCCACGTTGCTTGAAGAGCTTTCAATACACCTTCACACATTTCCTTCGTAAATTCTACCTCGCATGCGCTCGTTCTTTGCTGTCTGTGGATATCAATAGTCACACACAGTCAGTGCGATTCTGTCTATCCATATACTTCAGTACTGCCCAAAAGCAACACCCAAATCTCACTTGATTTGGTAGAACGCTGACACAACATCATCTTCATCATCGTCGCCAAAGTACGGTACAAATTTAAGTGTCGGTTCATCCTCCACCTCAAAGTTCGTTGTTAAAGCCGTCCACATGGTGGCAGTTGGAATCGGAGGTACTTTTGGTAGAATCACTGCTCGCCTATTGACGCTAGTTTGGGTCTTGCGATTGACCAAATGTATCTTTACCGTACGTTTTACATAGCGATCTGGCAGTCCCGGTAGCTCCGATGCTAAAAAAAGAAGTCAAACCAATCAACACACCTTACATGAGTCAAAACATGGAGAAAAGAAGCAATTGCAATAGCTTCCACTCAACAAGCTTTGATGCATATCATACACTTACTCTGCACCTTATAACCTTGTAACGCTTTGTCGAAAATCCCATCAGCGAGAATCGAGTATTCCTTTCGATGTCGCCGTTGATTCGATAGATACAGCGAGCTCTTGAGTCGATTGCGAGCCATCTCAGTCTACAGTGTAGTACAAAAGACCATTGTACGACGACCGGAAAAGTTTGCCAAAATACGTAAGAATGTTGTTAGCAATATGACAATGGCGTAAACTATTGCAGACAATGTTCAAAAACGTCCTTTGCGTACACTGGCAAAAATGTGGAATGACTGGATGAAACGATTGAGAGTTTCTGCGGCTTGTGCACAGAGCTGTTCCTCCATTTCCGTATCCGGCGTCTTGGAAGCCTCTCGATCCTCCAAGCTAATGCCGTCCACGGACCGCTTGCGACTTGCAACCTGACAAGCACGAGACATTTTAACGAATAAGTTTTAAACTTGCCGCCAAAAATGGTTAATGCAATATTTGCAGAAAGCCGACGTTGCTGAAAAAGGGGATCAAATTTCATCAACATTTATGTTACTGTAAGCGCAACCTTTCGGCAACATAGAGACAATTGTCATCCTTTTGGATGGCAGGCAGCAAACAAAAGATCAATGGCGTTGAGCAACAAGAAGGTGGTATTCGCCACGCGCTCGGAGCGTGCGCTAGTGCTAAGTATCGTGCGAGAAGACTTTGGTGACGTGGCCGAACGAGTAACTGAGACTTTGCTGCGCTCTGAGGGCCTACGGCTTCCTGAGATTGCACACAAACTGCAGCGCCAGATGACATCCGCCTCGTCGTCGTCGTCTTCGGTGTATGAGGTTTGAAAAGCTTACTTAAGCTTCAAATTTGTATGTAACAAAGGTAATTATTGATGACTGAATTACGGTACTGTACGTATAGATCAAGTGTGCATTACTGAAATTGCTGCAGCACAATATACTGGACGTTGTGCCTGTAGTCATTCGAGGCGGCGCTCCGACGGTCGCATACAACGTGAGAGCTGCAAGTTTGTTTTACTAGTCTGTGACTGTTTTTCTGATATTGTGACGTTTTTGTCTCTTCATTCGTGATAGATTAACGTGCAAGAGGCTCTGTACCGACTGCGCTTCCCTAAATTTATTGAACAGGCTAAAGAAGTCTTTGGAGCAGAAGGTGAAGTGATCATGGAGGAGGTTTTGGTGCAAGGTCGTGTGCGTATGGACCAGTCACTGGAGACGATGGCTTACAATTTGGCAGAACAACGTTGTCAGAACAAGAAAGTGGTTGAGTCTGAAGAACAGCCAATAGTGACGGAGGAAGAGGAGATCAGCGAGGAAGAGATGGAAGAGTGCCGTCAAATCGTGCGGGATGTTTTTGTTGAAATGGCGAAGAAACGCTTCATCTCACGAGTGCACCCCCTAGACCTAAAGGTAGCGGCCCCTGAAGAGACCCCAGAATTTCCTGCAAGTATTACGCGTGGACAGGAAAAGGGTGCCACAACGAATTTAAATGGCAACTTGATGGCTGTTAATGCTGCTGTTAATGGCTCTGATGCAAATGCCGCAAACACAAATATTATAGCTACTGACGAGGATGGAATTACCGTGCGTGGTAAGAAGCGGAAGGCCCCGATAGAGTCGTCAGGGAATACTATCCCGGTGGAACTGCAGATGATGCTTGACGCGGACGCAGCAGCTCAAAATGAAAACGATGACTTGGAAGCTGAGTGGGAACCTAGCTCTGAGTCATCGTCTACTTTCTCGAATCGTGGATCTAAGCGCAAGAAAACTGCGAAGCGTGCCAAGCTGCCGATGCGAGGGACATCGTCTGGAGATGCTACCACTGGGGGGTGAGACCAGCAGTGAAGACACGCCGAACGGCTCTGGAGCTCACACAGACGAGCGTTTGTTGGTGTGGCGCTTTGGTGCGACGCAGTTGCTGCGTGATCTGCGGCACAAGGCATGTATCAGATTTGCAACGGAAAATATCAATGCTGTAGCTGGCGTAATTGTAGCCGCTATGCTTCAGCATTCTGCCCCTCGCGAACGCGAAAAGGACGAGCCGACTTCATTTCCGGTGTCGGCACGCGATCTATTTGACATGGAAAGTGTGAAAAAGGCACTCCCTCCTGAGGCGAACAATCCGTGGCGGTTGCTACTCAACTACATTACGGTCATGTGTCGTGACAAGTCGGGTATGGTGATGAAGGTTGCGCAGGAAGCGTTTGATCCTACTCAAGCGCGCGCAGGTGACGGTGGTCAGTTCGTAGTCCACATGCAGAAGATTGTGGAGTATTTGAAGCAGGCCACGACACACGCATATGTTCAGGAAAAATATGGTGTAGAGAGCGCTCGCATCGTGCGCTTGCTAATGGAGAAGCGCCAATTAGAGCAACAAACAATTAGCGAGCAGGCGCTGCTACCGTCTAATGACGCACGACACCGGTTGTACCAGCTGTATACCGACAAGCTGCTGAAAATACAAGAAATTCCGAAGCGAGCGGATCACAACCCAGCGTTTACATTCTTCTGTTGGTCTGTTGACGTACCGCAGATGCAGGCACGTATTGCAGAGCACGTTCAGGACTCGTTGTGTCGTCTTCGGCGTCGGCGTAAGTTTGAAGCGGAGGAAAACAAAGAGCTTATTGCCCGATCAGAGCAATTGGTTGAAGCCAACGATCTCGACAAATTTGACAGGCTCAGCCGCTCATTAGACCGCCTTGATCGTGGCATTATCCAATTAGATGGTATGCTTATGCTGTACCGCGATTTCTAGTGCATCCGCACGTCATAGACAAGTCAATCATTCGACAAATGACAGGAACGACGTGATATTATAACAATCAGCTTCTCTTGTCGTGTGTCGCGTTTGTAATTTGAAGAGAGCATGAGGGCACGACGGCCGCTGGTCAAAGATCACGTTGAGACCTTCAGCCTATTGAATACGCTCGAAAAAGAAAATTCTTGGTAAAGATTTTCTATTTTGCAGAGCAACCCCGAGGATGGTGTTGAAAGGTGCTATGTTTCGATGGCAAATGCAAACAAACGGCAGTAGACTTGGTGTCTAGATTGTACCAACCGTAATATCGGATATGATTGAATATTACTACATCGACAATCAAATTACTCATGCACTGTCAACAGGTCTTACATTAGCTCGCTGCACACGAAAACGACAAACAAACAGTTAAGACAGGCTCAATCAACAACGCGGCGTCAAAGTGCAAAGAACTTACTAAGCAGGGCCACCTCCACCTTCAGGGACAGTCCACTTGATATACTCTTTCGGCATTTTTATAGAGCAGCACTTGCAGTGCACACAGTTTTGAGCGTTGATCACAAGCTGCGGGATCCCGTTCGCCTCGCTGCCATCAGTGTATTCGTAGACGCGGGCGGGACAGAAACGCTGCTCCGGACCAGCGTACACAGGAAACGACTCCTCCGAAGGCACCTTCGCATGCTCTGGCTTAATGCGCAGGTGTGATGGTTGATCATGATTGTGGTTGGTACCACTGCGCTGCAGATTCGAGAGCAAGTCAAATGTCAGCTCACCATCCGGCTTCGGATACTCTATGGGTGTGAACTCCTTGGCCGGGCGCGTCTTGGCCGAGTCTGCAACGGTGTTCGGAATGGTCCATGGTTCCTTTCCCCGGAATACGTGTGTCGCCACTCCAGCGTGTAAAAAGCCAGGAAGAAAACCCTTGTGGAAACCAGCGTGCACGTTGCGAACCGCCTTCAGCTCCTCAGCGATCCACGACGACTCGACGGCATCCTCGTAGCTAACGATGTCAATCGCAGGCTCTTCTGGGTTGATCTCCGCCGTTTCGGCCACAGGTGTCACGCCAGTAGCAGTCAAAGCCTCATACGCTGCCTCCGCCGCTAACATACCTGACTTCATCGCCGTGTGCGTGCCCTTGATTTTCACGCCATTGAGGAAACCAGCAGAGCAACCAATCAAACCACCACCGGGGAATGTTAGTTTTGGAATTGCATGGTAACCACCCTCGTTCAAGCAACGAGCACCGTACTGCACGCACTCGCCGCCTTCCAGATACTTTCGAATAGCTGGGTGTGTTTTAAACCGCTGAAACTCTTCGTACGGGTTAATATAAGGGTTCTCATAGTCAAGACCAACAACTATACCAATCTGGACCAAATCGTCTTCCATGTGGTACATGAATGAGCCGCCAAAAGTCTTGTCCAGCAGCGATTGCTGCAGCGGCCAGCCCAACGTATGCTGCACAAGTCCAGGTTGGTGCTTGTCCTTGGGCACACGCCACACCTCTTTCACACCGATTCCATACGTTTGGGGCTGAACACCATCGCGCAAGTTGTACTTTTCCATCACCTCTTCGCTGCATGAACCCCGACAGCCTTCACCAAAAAGTGTCTGCAACAACACCAACACATAGCACCAGTTATCAGCTGCAAGCTATGGACCACCTTACCAACACAGCAGTAATAAGGATGTACGTACCACACGCGCACGGAGCTCCATGCCGCGAGCAAAGGTGCCCTTGGGCTTGTTATCCTTGCCGATACCCACATCGCGAGTGGCAATGCCACCCACAGATCCGTCCTTACGATACAGCACTTCAGAGGCTGAAAACCCCGGGTAAATCTCGACACCAGCCGCCTCAGCTTGCTCACCCAACCAGCGGACGAACTTGCTAAGACTAATGACGAAATTGCCATCGTTGTGCTAAGAATTGGCCATTATCAGACAAACATAATATAAGCCAACAGCACGATTCGATATGTCCCATCTACCAATCAAAAGACAGACTCCAACAATCACTTACCTCCTCCTGAGGCAACAGAAAGTGTGGCAGAGCCAACGACTTCTTCTCCGTAAGCAATAGAAACCGATCTTTGGTCACAGGCGTATCTAATGGCGCACCCAAATCTTTCCAGTCCGGTAGCAGCTCATTTAATGCACGAGGCTCCAACACGTTGCCTGATAACACGTGTGATCCCACCTCGGCGCCCTTCTCAATCACGCACACAGACAGCTCCGTGCCCTTCTCGACCGAGAGCTGTTTCATACGAATCGCAGCCGCAAGACTTGCAGGGCCAGCACCGACCTATTAGCATTCCATGTATACAAAAAGCTAGTGAATTGTTGGTTTCCCTCATGACCATCATTCTACACAAAGTAGGTTACCAGAAGCACATCATAATCCATGGCCTCACGCGGCTCGTGAAGCATCTCCTTTTCCTCAGGAGTTAGCGTAATAGATGCAAACCATCGCTTTGAATATGAGACTGGCGCTTGGCGCTTAAGCGTCTGTAAATGTGACAACGAACGGTGCCACATTATAATGCGGGGTTTCCTTTTCTACAATCGCAATGATCTCACGTCACGGATTTCAGGACCCAACGTGGAAATCAGTTTTAGCCAATAACAAGCAACTAAGTATTTCTTGGTGACTTAACAATTGTATTGTATATTGAATGCGTTATCCGAGTCTAGCAGGGACATTTACTCGTATCTACCATGACAAGACCTCTTTGTTTGACGTCTATCTGATGAATGCAACGCTCTTTATCGTAGCGCTTTTTTTGCGTTTCTTGAGCTTTACGAAGATTCTTCCAAGCATGCGAGATGAACCTCTGGTTCTCTTCGACGAATGCACTGGCATATAATCAAGCCATTGATATGTGCCTTTCGTTGATCTTTCGCTTCCACCCATTTTGTTCTTGATTACCTGTGTGGATTTGGAATGGCGAATACAAAATTCGGTGGACGTACTGACTGACGTGGCATGGGCTATAGCCGAGCTACTGTAGCCAAGCTACTTATGCACGACGTGCAGAGGAAGACAAGCTTCAAGAGCTTCTACGTCTTAGGGCTTTAAGCCCTCCCAAGGCTAGCTCGCAAGCTTGTGCCATTTTGGGAGAACCAACCACGTCTCAATGAGACCAGTATCAGAGATACTTGTTCCTTCTTTTCGAAAAGACTCTAGCAACAAATGCTTTAAAGAGTAGGTCTATTATGATTTATTTATGTTGATCTTTTAGTCTATTCTTAGTGCTGTTTTTTCCGACTCTGTAGCCTCCTAATATGTAAACATATGTATTCAAAATACTTAAACTAAGTATAATGACCAGGTGGCAATTACGAGAGCATTGGACAAACGCTTCTTCAGCAGATATTACAAAAGTTCCACAATTGCAATTTGTATATAAAATGTAATTAAAACTTCCTCCTATTATCAAACAACGGAGCGGAGTCTCAATTGTGCAGTGATTTTATCGTGCCGTCAGCATGGTAAAAGTGGAAAAAGGAAGGCTGTGACTAGGAAGAATGATGTGAACGCCAAAATTTTCTGCAGCTTATTGAACTCACTTACGGCGGTCAGTAAACCCGCGGAATATTTGAAAATAAACCATTTGTTGTGTGCGTCAGTCGGCTGGAAAAGGAAAATTGCGCTGAGATCAAGTCTGCCACCACATATTAGTCGGCAGGATCGACGCGCAGAAGAGGAGCTCGATCGATGGCTGGAGGATACTGTTGATAGTGCACGAAAAGAGAACTACGCACAAAAGGAATCAGTACTTGAGTTCTGGCAAAGACGCGAGCACGAAGGCGACTAACGTATCATACCGAAAGCTGTGAGAGTGCTGTTTTCATTACCATCGTCTTCGTGCCAGACCGAGCGTGATTTTGGTGTAAGCGGGTAGATGGTAACTGCACAGCGCACGACTTTAGCTGAGAACATCATCTATTTTTTTTTTTTTTAAAAAAAAAAAAAGGGTTTTTTTAAATTTTTTGGGGGGGGAGGAAAAAAAAAAGGGAAAGCATCAAAAAAAAACAACAAGTATTTTTTTTTTTCTTTTAAAAAAAAAAAAAATAAATAAAAAAAAAGAAAAAAGGAGAAACCTTTTGGCCGACATTGCTAATAGCATGTCACCACCTGATGACTTCGACGAAACGAAGTCAGAATTGTAAACATCTTATGAACAGAATATTCACATTTCACTCGACAAATAGCGTTGTGCTGTCTGCTCCGCTCTCACTTGAAGCTAAATTTCTGACACGAGTGCACTTAGATTGTGTGCTTGCGCTCAATCATGTGTGCGGCGTGCAGGAGCTCGAGTGCGCAATCGAGGGTGGTGGCTGTCGTCCGAAGTGGTGGCGAATATCCTTGATAATCCTCGGTTTGTGACGACGCACGAGTCCCCGCTTCCACGGTCGCGTTTGGTCTTACAACCACCACTTTGTTCCTCTCGGGTGATTTCGTCAATGAAGGACTAGCTGCTGGTAATGTATGTGGCGCTTGCCCCTCTGCTTGCGTCGCATCACTTGTGATCGCCATCACCACCGTGTGTTGATGGTATCTGTCCAACGCTGCTGGCACCTTTGACTCATCATTAAGGTTGCTTAATAGACCGTTCTCTCTATTAGGCAGTTGAACAGGAGAGACAGATCGTGGTGCATGTCGATAGCATTCCCCCATAGCTCTAGTATCCTCTTTTTGAATTCATTATCTTCGTAAGAGTCTCCTTGAGCGTCGCTGCTCCATTCGTGCTCGTAGCGGTTGTTCGGCTTCTCTGGAGCTCATTACATACGTCAGCTCACGCACGTCCTTCTTAATTGTCTTGCAGATGACATCAACAGCCTACTGCAAGCTATGTTCAGTGATGTAATGGGGGCTTCAGTCTGCTTGTCTGGATCATAATCTTATCACATCGCGTCGTGACCAGACTGGGTCGTCTTGCTCTGCAGATCGTTAATGCACTTATCCACCTCCTTCTTCACGAGAATTGCAATAGTACTCTCAAGACCGGCACTACTTTGCTGGCTTTGCCTTTCCACATGCGCGCACTTTGTCTTGACGTGCTTTCAAAGAGCCGTTGTCGCGTCTGCTTGACGTTGTGCTTATAAATGTATCTCCGCCTGCGTATTCGTAAGCATTTTCTGGATGCGTGCTTCTAATTTACGGTTTACGTTTGTTGTTGTTTCGGCAACGAAGTCGCAAACAAATTCTTAGAGAGGTCCATCTTTATCGTCAGCGCACCGCAACAACTCAACACAAATGACTCGCACGACTTTAGATAGTTCAGATCCACTGAGCTTTTTGTTACAGATGCAACGTTTCTTGCCGCCATATCCACTTGTGCTTCGCCATATCGCTCGTCTTGTAATTGAAGCTGATCCCGCAAAGAGCCACAGCTAGTTTGCCTTCGACTAGCTGCTGCACATATTCCATAACCTCCGCTGTAATGCCCTCTGTTAACATTTCCACTTGCCGTTGTACGATCTGCGATGCCTCTTGTAAAAGACTGGTTCCACCGTGAGCCACCGCAAGCTTGTCGTCGACGAGTTTGAGTACATGCTCCATTACTTTTGCCACAACATGATCGGTAGACTTCTCTATTTGCAGCTCTACTATCTGTGTTGTCTAGTATTCTAGATCGCGCTCAACGAGATTGTCTTTGATGAGTTTTAGTACTTGCTCCATCATCCACGATAGTGTGCCGTCCATGTTGCGCTCCATCAGCATTAAGTTCTGTCGGACTTTGTTCTGTAGTTCTTGTCTCTCCTGGGTAAGTTTGTCACTAACTTAGCTCTCGAGTTGACTACCTCGCTCACCTTGGACGTTATAAAGGTGTAGAAGTTGTTCCCGAAGGCTGGCTTGCGTGGCTGTCAGCGCTTCTCCGAGATTTATAGCAATGTCGTGTTGTTGGTCTGTCAGCTGCCTTACCCTGGTCTCTTTTGATGCCTGCACAGTCATCAACGCGGCGTTCTGAGTGTGAATTTTGCCCTTCCTGTTTGGTAGTTCAAGGCAGCATGCTCTATTTTCAGCACCTGGGTCTGGAGGAGACAATGCTGTGCGAGAGCAGCGACATGGTCCATGACGCTGGGGCCGAGTTCTTGAACAGATGTAGCTGCGACTTTATCAGCGACGAGAAGAGATGAGCTACGGTCAGCACCATCGGCGCTGACATCTCTGTCGTCGATGTCTTCTATATCATGTCACCGTCGATCTCTACAGCTTTCTGAGCAGCTTGTCAACAATTATTACGGGCGTCTACTCAATGTTGCTTAATGATGCGGCCAACATCAAGTGTGTGCACATTTTCCTGGGATTAGACCGTGAAACGTTGTTTTTTCGCCTGTCTTCAGAAGCGTCTCGGCGACGATCTACATTTTTTTAAGCAGTCGGACGGAAAGGCTGCTCGATTACATTGCAAAAGAATATGTCAAGTCATGGTGCAAGTCACGGGCATGAGTGATATCGACAGAATCATCTATTTTGAGCGCACGTACGGAGTTCCATTTGACAGGAGGTGGAGTTACAGTAGAGTATTGCCTCTGGACCCTCATGGGCCAATAATGCTATTTAAATCTGTCAGACAGCCATTAAAATACAAAAATCAAATTATTGTACGACATAGTAGACACTACTGTATGCAAACAATCGAGCAAAGCGTTACATCATGAAGCGTTATTCCACTACAGTAAGCTTAGAAGTTCCATACATTCCTTCAAGAATCTGGTTTACGCTTACGCGGAAAGATCGTTTTGCTTTTTCTTGCAGGAAGTATTGGATACCTTGAAATGATTTATACATTAGTTTGTGGCTGAGCTGGTTGGGATACAAAATTGTGTTTGTTCTAATATAAAGATACAGGATGCAAAATGCTGCCCTCAGTCATCGCAGAACACATCATTTTTGGCAGTCTCAAGCTCAAGTTCTATTCTTAGACTTCAGCAGCTTTAACAATGTTGCACGGTCTTTATCTGTTGTTAGCTTTTCTCTTCGGAATTGATGTAACCTGGTACAGTGGAAAGCTGTAGCAAAGCTACAAAGCAGTTTTAGTCGCAGGAAGGAACAAAAACAGTGAGTTCAGTCGCTTAAAGATCTATGAGGACAGTCTCAAAGCGTTTGTGATAAAAGCCAAGCGATGCAGAAAGAAACCGAGAAAATCCTCATAAAGGGACTGATTCTTACGGTTGAGAGTGCAACCTATTTCTGTATTATTACAACAGGCCGCTTACAGAATTCTAATATAAGGACCTATTTAGTACACGATGCAAGTGGCTATGAAACTAGTGGATAAGATACTTAAGGCTATAAAGCCCACTATTTCTCATATAAAAATGAATGTATATATAAATTCGTGGCTGTAAGCCATCTGCGGATTTTGATCCAATCAGCGCGTACTAAGTACACCTTTTTCGATTCAGTAAGCCTCATTAAAGCAATTATGCTTTTTGCAATAATCACTGTGTAACATTCTTACTCTTCTGTACTTCTAGGCTAATCCCGTTCCGCACCAAATTTGTCTCTAAAAAACGCCGTGTCTAGCATGCGCTAACTACGCTACACACTTTTAGGGGTGGGCACCCTGAGCCTGCCCTTTTGTAGGCTTACTGGATATGCATTACTGCAAATGGTACACGCTGAAAAAGATACTTGCTTACGTTCATCGAATAAGTATCAAGAACTGGCTTATCTTGACTACGTCTTTCAGCCTAGTAACGTTAATGTGTGTCTGCAAGTGGCCTACAACCAGTCACTATCGATATGGATCACTGGACACAAGACTTCGATGGCTAATGCCATTGCAGCGAAGGATGCTGTCCGCGAGGGATACCATATGTCCCGGCAGCTACCATGCAGGAATACCTGGAGGTAATTTGTGCCTCTGTCTCTCTATCAAGACATTTTTCTTCGGTTTATTTTTCTGAGAAACCAAGATAAAGACGGCAAAAACTTTATCCGTTAAATGGTCGTGCGCGACACTTGCGCAGTATTTTTCTCTTCGAACAAGAACGACGTCACATTGCAATTACAACCCTTGCAAACGATAGGTTGGATGGACAAACCTTTTGTAGTGAGCTATAATCGAGTGACAGCGTTGCGTGACGGCAAGCTTCATAGTCACGGTCAGTTGCACTCGCATCCTTGGGACAAATGATGTACGAACGGCAAAAGTTTGATAGCAAGCAGACAAACGACTATCTGATATACCTTCTGTAGCCGAGTTACTGTAGTCACGCTACTTATGCACTATGTGCAGAAGTAGTAGCCAAACTACTGTAGCAAAAGCTACTTATGCACTACGTACAGAGGAAGACAAGCTCAGAGAGCTTCTACGTCTTAGGGTGCTGAACCCTTCCTAGGCTAGCTCGCAAGCTTATGCCTTTCGGTAGTGAACAACCATGTCTCAGAGAGACTAGTATCAAAGATACTGATATCTGTCTTTTAAGGAATAGAACGCTCTAGCACTTGTAAGGCTTACAGAGCAGGTTTGAAGCTGATTTATTGAGATGTTTAACTTCTAGCACTAAATATAGAAGCAGCTACTCTTTACTTCGTACTAGTCACTATTTATCTGGCTTTGTAGCCCATTAATATGTATGCAAACATGTATAGCCACTATACTTTAAACTAAGTATAGTGACCACGTGGCTCTCTGCTCTGCACGATGCGACCCTTCGAACCTTTTGGTACGGTCACATCACCCTACCACTGTACCCAAGGTACAGCCATACCACAATGGCGTGGCAGGTGTGTATGTACAATACACACCTTTGTGTAACCGCGTTACACCCTCCCCCACCAATCCGTGGGACCCGGCTAACCCACGATTTTCGAACTTAATGTGGACTTTTGCCGATTTTCATTTTGTTCCCATTTTGCTTACCTCGCAATTAAGTGCCTCGCACTTGCAGTAGTTACGACATACGCTCTTTGAGCACCTGTGCTATGCAAACACGCTATCTAATCGCACCCTAGTGTTTCGACACTTGCTCCTTTAGCATACAGTGCATTGCACTCACGCAAAAGCGTTCAGTATTACGACACTTGCTTATAAGCGTTGAGTGCCTAGCACTTGGTATTGATGCCCATTAGTGAATACGAACACTTGCTTTTACAGCATCAAATGCCTGGCACTTCCTTTAAAAACATTCCAGTGTTTTAAACACTTGCTTTTAAGCGTTTAAGCATATACGTGTGTAACACTGCTCATAAAGCACCGTAATGTGTAACACTAGCTAATAATGCACATTAGTGTCGAACACTAGTTATGAATTAGTGTTGAACACTAGCTTATAAAGCATTTAGTGTCTAACACTAGCTAATAATGCACATTAGTGTCTAACACTACTATAATCACATTGTTAGCTTATAAAGCACCTAAGTGTTCAACACTTGTTATAAAGCATATTCTGTAAGAAATAAAAATATGTACACTAGCTTATAAAGCACCTAAGTGTAACACTTGATTATGAAGCACATTCCCGCTAAACACTTACTTATGAAGCACCTTAGTGTTCAGCACTCGCTTATAAAGCACCTTGTGTTCAGCACTCACTTATAAGCAACCAAATGTTTAATACGTGCTTATAAGGCACCTTAGTGTTGAACGCTTGCTTCTACAAAGCCCCGAAGAGTTTAATACTTGTTTATATGAGCCGAAAGTGGTGTACACTTCTGATAAAGCTTCATAGTGCTTCACACTTGCTTACAAAAACCAAGTGTTATTAAACCCCTAAAGTGTCGAATTATTTACCACTCGCTTATAAAGGCTTCATAATGATTCACGCGTGCTTATACAACAGCTAAGTGTCTCAAACTTACTTAAATGCACCGAAGTGCCCAGCACATGCTCATGGAGCCATAGCGTGCTATATCCACTTGCTGTTTGAGCTCCCCAAGTCTTTACGCTTTGCGTAATATATAGACAAAGTCATATACGCCGTAATCTTTGCTTCTGAAGCAGATAATGGTACTTTTCACGCGAGTGAGGTACCGGCAACTGCTTCCCAAGAAGGTCAGAGGTGAAGCCTAACTACTGACCTTGCTTCCACAGCACTTAGTGCGAGGAAGCATCCGCCGACCACTGTCGCCGCTTCTGATCTTCCCGATCAATAGCTTCAACGACGTCTGGGTAGTCTTGCCGTAGGGGTACCACGTACTCCCACGAGTCATACGACTGAGGGTACCCCCTCCACTTGACCAGATACTGGGTGTGGCCCTGGTGAAGACGTCGCGCCAATAGACGCTCGACGTGAAACTGATGGTGACCCAGCTCATCAGTCAGCGTTGGCGGGGGTCGGTGACCCATCGATCCATGAGCTTTTGGTACGCCTTCAGCGTCCATATGCACCTCCGGTACCGTAATACCCGCCTCCTTCGGCCGAGGGTATGGAGGAAAACCCCTCGAAGTCCACCGAGGCTGGGTTGAGATATGGCTTTAGCAAGCCCACGTAGAACATAGGGTGTGTTCGCATCTTCTTTGGCAGGTTCAGCGTATACGCTAAACCTTTCTTGCTTATGACCCTGAAAGGTCCAATAAAGAGTGGACGCAGTTTGGTTTTATATACCAC